TGTAGCTAAATTTTTGTAGAAACATAAATATGAGACTGCAGAAGTCCCTGGTGCAAAAATACTGGCCTAACAGGGATTATGGATGTTGCCAATTCCAAGAGGCTGAGTTAACTCAAGGCCAAGCTGGAGTTTGCTAAGAGTCTGATGTGAGGTCCTCTGGTCCATCTGTACCTACACACGCTGCAACAGGCAATGCTATGTGGTTAGCATCACAAGGCCTCCTTGTATGTACTCACTCTAGCTGGCAAATGTGCACTTGTCCCCTGTCACTGTTAACTGAGGGGTGATCATGGATTTTGAAAGGTGTTCCACGTGTGTGTCTTGTCTGAGAGTCAGAGTTACGGGGTTTGGGAAAGGATGTGGACCCATGGGCACACTGCCAGGAATAACTGTCTGCAGGGGCAGGATAAGGAGGAATGTAAGGATTTGTGCCAGCTCTGCTGAGGGATTTCCAGGATGGAGCCTTAGCAGGAGGGGAGGGAGGAGTACCTGGGAAAAGTGACCAGGAATGACTCTTTCAAGCTGTGGGGTGGGTTTGTAGTAATTCCTGGGGGTTGTTTTTAACAGTGGGTTCTGCCAAGTAGATCAGTCCCCTACAACACCGTGTATTTAGTACTCCAGATTCAGCTCACTGTGGTGGTTTTTGTCTTACTCTGCAGGGGTAAAGCGTGGTCACTCAGAGATGGAAGAAGGCAAAGTAAATCTGGAGAACAGCTGCTCACCCTACTACCTCATTAGGCTAATCTACTCCTCTGAAAATTTTGATAAACTCGTGAACCTGAGCAAATACAACATCCTCAATAACAAAGACATACTCCTCCAGGCAATCCAGAGTGCTGTAGAACGGAAGAGAAGCAGCAGGACTGGGAATGTCTCCAGCTACTCTGGATACCCCTAGGCTGGGTTTTTGCACTGTTTCCTACTGAAGGCTATGGCAGCACACTGGAACACATCACAGTCACATTGCAACACATCACAGTGTTCATTATTTGCAGAAAACTGAGGAAACCTGTACATTTCTCATCTTGCCTTGTTCAAGCTCCTAGCTTTCAAAAGGGTTTATTTAATCTTTTTCCCCCACGTTTTCAGCCCACAAGAGCCTCACAGTGTGGTCTTACTTGTTAAGAAATTAAGGTCCTGGTTAGCAGAGACCTCTCAGGATCTCCCTGATGTTATATGATATGGTGGTGCTAGATAGTTTCTTGTATGTGCCTGTCCTTTCAACCCTGAGCCCATTATTGATGTCTTTTCAATGCTTCATTACAAACCAAGTCCTGGCCATTTGCATTCAGTAATGTCCAGATTTTCAGATAGGCTGAGCAACTAGAATTTGCACTGAATTGGTGGGCTCAGCTTTGAAGTCAGGCCAAAGAATCATGCATATATATGTGAACAATGTCCAAACTGCAACGTGGACAGTCACGTTCTGTCTGGCCAATTCCCCTTGCTGATTTAGAAGTTACTCCTCTTTTTTCTTCAAGAGTTTGACGCAGAAACGCTGCTCCAAATGCCACAAAAGGGGCAGTTACATTTCAAGGAGAGATGATGTTAGCTGCAGTGAGTGAGTACGGTTCTTTTGAGCGTTGGCTGGAGGAAAAGTTCTGAATAAAGCGTGAGTAATTGCATTGATTTATACCAGCAGTGCCTCTATGCGTTAAAATGGCAAGAGCCTGAAACAAACTTATGATAGCAGAAGCTTGAGAGGAATAATTACCATAGACTCAAGTACATTTAATTAAATAATCATGACCAAGCCATAAGCTGGTGCTCCTTATGGATGTAAACTGAATGTACGACAACATAACTCACTAACAGAATGCATAGCCATTATATTTTCACAGCCAGAAGATTTTTACCTTTTATAGTCTTCTATCCCTAATATTACGGACAAAGTATTTTTAAAAGGTGCTACACAAAATAGGGCATGAATAATAAAAAAAGGGAATTCTCTATCATGCCTCCTTGTTGGAGGAAAATATTTGGAAAAATAACACCTGGTTTTCATTTGCTTTGGAGTGCAGTGAGAGATTTTTGCCTTAAAGAAACCCCTCCCTATAACCTGCTTGGACAGAACACAAACTGATTCCATGATGACTGCAAAGAGGCTATGTGCTCCCATGTCTCATGTCCTGGTGCACTCTGATTCACCTAGGCTCCACAGACATTTGGTGTTTGACCCCCTGCTTGCCCTGGCTGGAAAGGATGGACAAGAAGTGAGTAACACCATCATGCTGTCCATCTCGTATTCTCACTGCTCTTAGGACATCAAATTATTGCCCACATTTTCCAGCATTACACTATTACACAGGAGCTGCAAAGGTTTGAGCTGGAGGAGAGGGCTGGGGGCTGAACAGTTAGGGGGGAGTCCCAATAACAGCAACTGATAGCAGCTAGGTAGCTGTGGGCAGGGAAGGTGGAATCTCACTTTACCAGGTGAACTGTCACCAAAATTTGTGCCAACACTTAAAGTCAGGTTGGGGACTGTTGTTCACTTTTGCAGCTGGAGGCACAGACAAGCATATACCCTTTCATCTCCTTGGGGCCCCATGTGCTACCACTGTAGCCTTAAATGATAATAGTTTTATCAAATATATTTTTGTGTTTCAGGGCTTGAAATTGTGTGAGGGCTCTATCATTGCCTGTCAGAGTGCCTTTTTGTTTTATTTTGGTTACTTTTTTGGTTTTGTAACATGACATGGATGTGACACATGGGAACACGTTTAGTGGTGAACTTGGCAGTGCTGAGTTAACGGTTGGACTCGATGGTCATAGAGGTCTTTTCCAACTTAAATGATTCTACGATTCTATGACATTAAGGGAGTACGTTGCTGGCTTGATGGTGTGGCAGGAGGACCTGGAGGGCATCTGTGAGGGCAGAGGCTGCTGGAGGACTCTGCAGGGTGAAGGGACCTACACCTGACACAGTCTTGTCTGTGCAGCTTCTTGGGAAGTGGTAGCTGGTACAGGCTGTCTCTCAAAGCACACCTGAGCTGTGGTTCACAGCATTCTGATATGCACAGCCCCGAACTCATAGAACTATAGAGCAGAGTTTCAGCAACATGAGGCCGATCAGTGATCTGTGCTCTGGACTGGTCCTTGGTCCTTGTTCTTTTTGGATATACAGCGAGTCTAAGGGCTTCTGACATTTTGTGTGTTTGTTCCCCAAAGGTTGTGGTTTCATTTTTTTACCTTGGCCCCATTCTTGCCTGGCCTTGTGCCACATGTTCTAGTAACTGCTAACTGTTCTTCAGAGAAATTGCTTGCTTGTGTCTTTTAACCATTTAATAATATATTAATTAAAATATAATAATATATTAATTAATAAAATATTGTGAAGGAACACCAGATCCATGAAACTTTATGCACTTAAACACAAGACAATTTTTTTTCCACTTGTATTAGCAGTATTTACTGCTAAATGCCTGCTGAGAACTTCATAGGGCATTTGCTGGTTTCAAGATTGGATGGAAAAATCTGGGAGAAGATCTCCAGGTTTACAAAGGCATAGAGAGCCTTGGAAAAAGTGGAACAAAATCTGCTTCCTGTGGTAAAACCCTCTTCAGTGGAATGGCACAAGGCAGGGTAAAGAGGCAGCTGTACTAAGCCACAACCAAGGCACAGCTTTGTTTTGCCTCTTGGTGGTTTGACCTAAGTGAGTATAGAAGGCTGCCTTTCTTGATAACTTTGCTGTTTTCAGTTGAATGATAAGTTTAAATGGTAAGTTTAAAATATTTTAAAAAAATGTTAGGTTTTTTGTGTTTTGTTTTTGTTTGTTTGTTTGTTTTTTGGGTTTTTTGTTTGGTTGTTTTGGGGTTTTTTTGTTGGTTTTTTTGTTGTTGGTTTTTTTTGTTTTGTTTTGTTTTGTTTTTAAATAAAAGCAGGTAAAAATGATCAACAATAATGAAAATTCATCAGTTTCCCATTACTTTCATGTGCTGGGTTTTTTGGGTTTTTTTTGGTGACAGGCAGCAGCTCCAGCTGAGGTACAGCAGATGAGAGAGCTGGACTAGCCAAAAAAAAATAAATTATTAGATCACCTTGTTGGATGCAAGTGACTGATCTGAATAATTCTAAATTTAAACTCTAGATGTTGCATGTACCCAGAAAGTATTTACATAAACTTGGTGTAAAGGGTTCTCCTTCCCTTCCACTGGAGAATTAGTCAGGGCAGAGGAGAAGACTGCAAGGAAAGAATGAGAGTCATACTTCAGATGGGCTAGAAAAGGACCAAGGCTGAAGTCCTTGTCAGAGGTTTTAGGGACTTGAAGCTTTAGCTTCCATCTGTCAAAGAAGAGCCCCCAGCCACTATGACCTGGGGGTAAAAAATGTCCTTTCTTCCCATCTTCATGCTAGATAACTTTGGCTCAGCAACAGAGATAAGTCGGGGAAAATATATATATATATTCGTCCCCATGGTTACACCATACACACAAGCTCCAAGCATGTGGAGCTTGCTGCTTGGGGACTAGACCTCCTCCTTGCTAACCTGCATTTCCTCTCCTTTTACACTGAACGAGTGGTTGTTCATGCCTTATTTTAGATTCAGATTCCATTAAAAATGAGTAACACTGCAGGACTTTTCTTATTCCTGATAACTTCATTCAGAAAGAATTGGCAAATAGGGAATTTTTGATTAATGTGTTGTAAAAAGGCAAGACTGTGGAGACTACAAAACACTGCAGGAAGTATATAGCAAACATTACCTTTGGGTGCACAGACCACCGAAGCCTCTTTAATCTAATCTGTTGGTATCTGCAAATCCACTTGCAGGTGGCTGTAGTTCAATCACAGCTTGCACCTCATGCTCTGCTAGGTGCTCCCCACTCCTGTCTTGCAGAGTCATTCCACTTGAGCTGTCTGGCTTAAAGGTGCCTCTGCTCTTCTCTGAGGTAACTCAGAGTAGATATCACTTGTGTGGTATGCTGAATGACAGAGTTGTCATACACATAAAAGTATACCAGAAGCAGTCCTGTTTAATTGTATTTAAAGATTTTATGAGATTTAATACATAATTTAAAAAGTTTCAAGGGAACCGATTACCTTAAAACATATCCATATATTTCCAGAGGGCTGAGTTAAGATATAATGATCTGGTATTCCTTGAGGCAAATATAATTTTTCTCTTCCTGCTTCTAGTAGAGATGGAAGCAGTTTTGTTTTATTTCCACTTTGTTCTAGACTTAGGGTGGTGATGGAGGCTTGTGTCCCTGCAGTCTCATCTTCCTTAAAATCTGGAAAATTCTGCAGACTTTCTCTCCGCTTTGATTTTGAAGGATGGTGTTCTCCTATCAACAATAAGCATCACCAGAAAATCAGGTACAATCTAGAGTAGTTTAAATAACTCTGTATATATAAGAACTTGCAAGGCATCTAGCTCAGCAGCAAAAGTCTGCCTGGTAGCAGGACTAGGATTTCATATCATAGTCTGCAAGTTTTTTACAGTCTCCAAATGCAACAGAAAGTGATTTACAGGAGCCAAATTTCTGAATTTGGCTATGGCTATGTTTTCCATGTCTGTGTCTCCCCCGAGCCTCCTTTTCTCCAGGTAAACAATCCCAGCTCCCTCAGAGGCTCCTTGTAAGACTTTTTTCTCTAGACTTTTCACCAGCTTTGTTGTCCTTCTTTGGATACACTCCAGCTTTCTTGAAAGTGAGGGGCCTAGAACTGAACACAGGACTCAAGGTGTGACCTCACCACTGCCAAGTACAGTGGATGATCACAGCCCTAGTCCTGCTGGCCACACTATTTCTGTGACATTAGTGACAGAGGAGTAGGACTTTTTGACCTCAGGGCAGTCTGTAGGTGACTGCTACCTGAGCACGAACAGCGCTGACATCTGTTCAGCTTTGTGGCACAGAACCCATACCTCACGAGTGAGCTTTTGCTGGTCAGTCTTTCAGCAGAGTCCCTGTCTGTAAAGTCCCACAGTCTTTTCTGGGAGGTCTCTGTATTTGAAGTGAAAGGTTGCACCATCACTGTGGAATGTGATCTGTTGCTGTTTCCTGCAAGGTCAAAAATACGCACAAATAAAAGCCTTCTGAAGTAGCATTAGAGGCAGAGTTTGCCTTTTCTGGGTCCATAACAATTTTCTCTGTTCTTTGACTTCCTTTCCAGTAAGCCACTGCTTAGAGAAGTGTCCAGAAAGAGATTTAGATTCAGCAGAAAAGCTGTTGATCAGGATCCAAGGCAGCTCCTTAATAAAATACAATCCTTGGGCAAGGCTTGGAAATAACCTGATGTTGGCCACAGTACAACTGAAAGGCTGCTTTGTGAGTCACCCTGGGCATTCTCCTGCCAGGTCACTACATCACAAGGTGGCAGGTGACCTGTGTACTGCTGTCTAACAGAGGCAAAAAGGACAGCTCAAACTGCGCTGAACTAAGGACACTTCCTCATTCTCTTCTCTTTCTTTCATCATCACTTGCTAAAAACACAGCTCATTCTTGAAGGAAGTGAGAATGTACCTATATTATTCTGTAGTGATTGTAGCCAGTCCTCCATCAGTGTCTGAGAAGGTGCTGCAAAGTAATACTCTGCCCCATCTCTCAACCTGTAAATGAGGATAGAAGTTGAATTCTAGTTAGTTTTGCCTTATACCTTCTGTCTTGGTGAGTGTAAGACATATCAGTTATGCCTCTGAACAACATACAGTCTTAGGTGACTGCAGGCAAATGTAACTGTACAGGTAGCTGTGTAGCTTTTCATTTGCACACTTCTCCACAAGACTTACCGCAACATGAAGCTGTTCTCTTTCCTGGTGTAATTTATTAGCTTCTCACATTTGGAGCCTGCAATACTGAGGGAGAGGAGTGTGGATGTGTTCTGAAGTGGGATAAAATAAAAACAAAATGTCTTCTGCGTCTGTTCTGCTAGGATTCAATTCCATACCAACCTGCAGGCTAACTAGACACCCATATTTTTATGCCACTAACTTTATAACTAGGATCACTGAATAGAAAGAACTACAGAGGAACAATGGATGATTGCATTGTATCTTGAAGGTGAATCTTGCATAAGATACTTCTTTTAAGGAATATCCTTGAAAATTTATGAAAACTTATTATTCTGTTTTATAGTTGGTATCAGTTGAATAATTGCTGAATTTTCATTCAGCTGACATTTGAAAGAGAACTGATTACCCCTAACCCAAACCAAAGCAAATGTTTTTAAATGTAATCTTTTAAATGCACTTTTACATAGGTAGACAGAGAGATTGCTAGAAAGAGTCAAAAACTGAATTACCTTAGATGCTTCTTTTTCATCATTATAGAAATCAAGCTTTAATCCATCAAGTTTTACATAGAAGGATTTCCAAGACCTTGAACCTGGCTACATGAATAGAAATGGTAATAAAATTCAGTCATTAATTATATATTTTATAGGAGTAGTGAAATCTTTCATATGCAACTTCCCCAAGAAGCCAGGAGCTATCCATATTATGATCACAGAAGTTCTCTTAGTCATTATTATCTCCTAGAAGAGCAGAACCTACTATAGTTTCTGGTGAGGGTGATTCAAGAAGGGCTCTCTATGAGTCAGGACTGAACAAATGACATAACCTGGCTCAAGCAAGCTTGGTATACCATCTTGGCCAGCGACATCTTTGAAGGTGGATAATCAAAGTTATGTCTAATTTTTGGCCACTAAAATTTTTTCCTAGCTGGAACACCAGCCCCTGCCTGCTGGTCACAGGCTAGTTTTGTCAAGTGTGTGGTTTCAACCTAATGTGGCTGCTGAACTCTTCTTAATTTCTTAAACTAACCCCAGTGGAATGCTACTGAACAATGTGCAAAAGCCAACCCCAAGTATGTATTACTGTAAGGTTTTAGTTTAGTGCCATGAGACTCTTCTGGATGAAGGATCCTATTACTTTTGTATATTCATATTTTGTTATGTCAGTGAATCAAGTTGACAATTTGGTAATTCAGAGAAAAGGAAAGAAAAAAGTTCTGAGGAACGTAAGTCATATTTTTTTTGTTTGGTAATATGGAAGTTTGGTATCACTGCAAACTAAATTCTATATATACAGAAGAGAAGAAAAACTAAATTTCTCTTCCAGAAGATGGAGTCCATACCAGATTCAGTTTTTAAAAGAGGTCTTTCAAGTTAAAAAATTTGGGGGAAACAATCTATGGGACAAATAATCCAAGACAACTTTATGTGCAAGACCTCAGGAAACACTGAGATGTATACAGATTGGTGGTGAATATTAGAAAATTTCCTGCCCTGTTATGATCATTAGGCTTCTGACCTGAAGTGGTATTATTTCCCAGGATAAGAATTTAGATTTCCGTTTCATTCAAATCCAGATTTAAGAAACCAATTCTTCAAAGATAAACAGAACTTTAATTCTCTTCTAGCACAGTTAGAAAATATAAGTATTGGGAGCATGGGACTGAGGGCTTCCATTGCCAACAAACTATCACATGCTGTTATAGGATCATGAAGCTTTAGGTTTTTTGGGGTGTGGGTTTTTTTTTTTACTTTTTGGTCTTGATGTTTTTTGGTTTTTTGTTGTTTTTTTTTTTCTAATATTGGTGGGTTTTTTTTCCAATTCAGTTGATATACTGAAACCTGTGTTTATAACTAGGAAATGTAGTTAACATGTTCATACAGCCTAGACTCTGGTTCATACATCCATTAAATGTATGACTCCCATGTCAGGCAAAAATTACCTCGTCTCTTAAGGACTTGATCAGGTACTGCCAAAGTCAGTGGACACCTCCTAATACATTTTAGGATAACTGAAGCAAACCCCTAGTACTGAGCTCCTCTTCAGCAGGGGATTATCCTGAAGAAATCTGAGCAGGTCTGGACTATAATCCAAGGAAAATGAAAAAACCCAGAGTGATGGCATTTGTTTCTACCTGTTGTCTTCCTGGAAGGACCTGGTCTCTCTTCTCTAAGAAACCCTCCATGTTCTGGAGACTTGCAGAAACCTGAGACACACAAGAACATTGCTACTTAACTTTAAAATGTCCCTTAAGCATAGGTTAAAATTTCTGAAGGTCTTTTTTAGATAAATTCCATGCAAAGAAACTAATCTTCCTCTAGCCTTTACATTAACAGCACAGCTAGAAATCCTTACTATGTTGCAATCATATCTTTGATATACTACCTAAATGAAGAGAATTCACATCCTTCTAGAGCAATTTGCTTATGAAATTTGCTCTATCATATTGTTAATTAATATTATTTTTATATTATTAACTACATTTTACAACTTAAATGGTTCAAGTTATTCATACCACCTCTATAAATACTGAGTTACACCAATGTATAGTGTTGTACTGGTACACTTGGGTATGTGACAAACACATTCCTCTCAGAGTACAGGAGTACAGGAGTGATGAGTTAACAGTGTGTTTCCTGCCTGGGTGAGCAGGAATTGTTGGTTCTAGTCTTGCGCAAGTCAGCTCTTTGGCAAGTGTGCCATTAAGTCCTGCCTCTCTCTGACTTCTAAACTCAGTGGACATTAAGCACTGCTACCTCACATAGAGGGTGTAGGTAAATCTGCAGTCTTGCCTCTTTGTGAGACAGCATCTCCTGGCTGTTTTTAGGTGCTCTGTTGAGTATTCAGCAGCCGGAATAACCTCAAGTTTGGGAAAGAAAAACAGAAACCGATGTAGTTGTTAAGACCTAGTCTATAAAGCTGAGCAAATTAAAAATGGTTTTAAGCTTTACATAGCTGCTTAAGTCAACTGTCATCGTGGAAAGTGTTTCAATTGCAAAGGCACATTCTGTGGGCTTACCGAAGACGTATTCTCTAGTCTCTCCCGAGAGGAGTTAGACAGCAGTAAGTTTGGTGATATATCTAGGGACCTTTGTCCAGGCTCGGGTGGTGTTGCCATTAGTTTGAAGATAGAGGAGCCTATAGCGCTTTTTTCTTGAGGAGATAGGTGGTCTGTGGCACGAGATTCTGACAAACTGCTACTGTGTTGCTGGTTTATAGGAGTGGGAGACAAAGGAGAGCTTAAAGAACCGTGACTTTCCAAAGAACTAGCTTGTGGACCCACCATCTTTGGTGTAGGTGGAGGGATAATCTCACTGAGCCTTGTTTCAGCTTTCATTTCTGTTTTTTTGCTGCTCAGCACTTCAGGGACATCCTCAGCAATGACTTGTTGGAACCTTGTTGGAGATTTTTCAACAGGGGAGAAAATAGTTTCAAGTGGGGCCCTCCAGGACAGGCTGGGGAAGGGCACAGATGGCAGTGGCATTGTGCTCTTTATCTCTGTCACTTTTGGTGGTGTATTCCTTCTGTCAGATGTTTTTCTTTTCAGAGAGGGAACCCGTACAACTTTGCCTTTATCCTTATGCTCACTGTCTTCTGTGTCCACTTGTTTCAGAAGATTCATTTCTCTCTGTAGGACAGAAGTATTAAATTTTTTAAATTACCTTCATTGCATTTATGGATACTTACCTAAGATTTTTATTATTTTAAGCAGGAATCATTTTTCAAATACACTGTCACCTGGCATTGAATTTTAAGGCCTGTTCCTCTGTTGGCATTCTTAGAGCTAGATCTGAACTTAATTGCTATGTGCTAAGCATTATTTTGTTACCCAAACCATGAATACTAATGGCAGTTAATCTCAAATACAGTGAATCCTGACCTTGCTAAGTTCTCTAGAAGCTGATTTTTTAATAAGCTCCAGAGAACTTATGCTCCTTTTTTGTGTCACTGCTTCTTTAAGTTTTCTGTAAGAGCACTGAGTATCTAGGGGTGTTGTCAGGGAAAATTTTAGAGGAAAGGACCTTTGTCCCTTCATTTAGCCAATTTGCAAATCAAATGAAATGAATGAAAGACAGATTTGGCCAAGCTAATTTTTAGCCTAATGTCAAATACAAAAGCTATGTTTTGCTGGTTATTTCAGGAAAATAATTAAAACCTCCCACATTGAAACAGGATCTGAGAGACTCAGTGAATGTATTTTGGTACTTATCACAATCCATTGTAAAACTCTGATGTCAGAAGGAAAAAGGCCTATCAGTGCTTTTATTTCCCTTTATTTTCAGCCCTTTGCTATCATCTAGAATGCTCAGGTAGCTCCAACTCCCTACTGAACTCCCGAATAAAGCAAAATTTCTCCATCTGTGTAGCGAGGGATCACACCACTTCTCACACTCTTTTTGCTTCTCCTAACAGAAGAAAACTTCCACTTCTTCCCTAGAGCTTTTGCAAGCTAGTTATCTTTTTTGATCCACGTATAGGTCTGGTTCTCAGCTGCTCTGTCTGCAATATCTAAGCTTTGGTTACTCATTTACTCCATCTCAGCCCAGGAGTTCATTCGTATGTGGAGTGATATCCAAACAATCAAGGACCCACATCATCCTGTCTCATACACAGCTGATTAACCTTCTAGTACTCACCTTAGTTTTCCTGCTGAGCTGAGCAAATTTCTCCTCCTGTGCTGCGAGCATCTTCTCAAAATCATGGTGTTTCTTCAGTAATTCCTCTACTTCAGACACTGAATCCTGAATGGAAAAATCATCAGACACGGAGGTCCAAAATCAAGTCCCTCAGAAGAGACCATGCCTAAGATTTTCAGATTTACCTCTTTTATTTAGCCAAATTATGATTCTGAAATTTTTGTAATTGAATGTCTAAATCCCTCCTAGTGTGTGAAAAATTTACATAAAAGGTCTGTAGCTTGCAGTCTGTCTGATGTGCAGGAAGAAAAAGAGCTCAGATAACAACCTTCGTTTTTCTGCAAAGCTATGTAGTACCACGGTTTCCAGCTATAACTGTTTACATACAGATTAAGTATATGGGTTCTAGCTTGTGCTACACACACAGTAATTCCTGCCCTATGACAAGGCATCTTAAACCTCTGTCATGCCCTCTGCTTAGTTTTTGATACCTGAGTTTATGACTTTGTTTTCCCATCTTATAAACCATCAGAAGACAGTTCACAATGAGAAAAAAATGCCAAACCAAAATAAAAATGTTGGATGCTAGTGTTTAAAAGAGAATTGACAAGCTAGCTGTCAAGCCATCTGTGTAAAACATTCTACCACTTGATGCGGAGAATGAGGTGGGGAAAACCCCCTTTTCCTTTCAAAACAGGCTCTCAGTATGACAGGGAAGGTTGAACCCTCTACATGTTATCTTATTTCAGAAAAAAGGTCTGGAATTCTCCCCAGTCTTCTACCACCCCTTGGAAGGACCACTTCGAGGAGCCCATCACCATGTCAAAAGCAGCAACTACTCTGGGCTCACTTCTGTAAGACAGCAGAGCTCCCCCCCTTTCTAATCTCAAGGGTGCATTACTGTTTAGACTGTGATTAATTTCAGGCCTGAGCTGGTACACGTGCCAAGCTCTCTGTATATGCTGAGGCATAGAGTGTTCAATAGTGTTTCAGTAGTGTTGCACTGTTGTTACTCACTCCATAGTTAGGATCTGAAAGAAAGCTCTCCTTGGCAGTCAGCCATGCTTCTGCTTGTTCTAGCTCTCTGCGGAGCAATTGAATCTCCCAGTTTTCTTCATATAACACTTTCCTCATGTCCCAGCTCTCCTTTACCTTCTTCATCAGCTCTGACAGCTCTAACAGTTTTTCTTCAATCTAGAAAAATAACATTTGCAATGCCAAGAGGTGAAAAATCCAATCAGATTTTCACAGGACAGTCAACTAGCATGTAATGATTTAGCCTTCATGATTTGGAAGATGATCTCTAGATAACTTTGTGGTGTTAGCATAGTTTAGAAAGGGTGTCTGAGTTCTCATTTTTCCTACTTAAATTCATTTAGCCTGTACACTGTATAGCTAGATGTTAGAATTTTATGCATATTCCACGTACTGTATGACCAATATTCTGCCATATGATTTCCCAAGATGAAACTTTGGCAACTTGTATTGTAGAACTAGTGAGAAGGAGAAGATTCAACAAATACATCTATTTATGGCAAGGCAACAATGGAGAGACTTAAACTGCAGAAAGTTCTCTTATTCTTTCTGCAACAGAAATAATGTAATCCTGCATAAATTCTGAAGATGTTTTTGGTGGTGTGATTTACAAAGAGTGTCAAGACAAGCTTGGGCAAAGTCTAAACATACATAGATAATAGGATCACAGAAAGGTTAACATTCTTGTTCCTTTGAACATTTCTGAAGAATTTTTATGTATCTTCTGATGTATGCAGGGGCATCAGTCCATCCTACAGGGGATTGCATTGTGATGTGTCATAAGAACTTTAAAATGTGTTTTCTTTCTCTGTGTGTGACACAGGGTGTGTAGCTTTTAACAGTTAAGAATCGGATTGTCCTGTTTAGTTCTGCTCTGAAACAAAGCTGCAACTTCTGTCCCTTTTATGTCATTGTTCACTCTTGTTTGTAAAATATTTAGCTGATCAACACACCTCCACAGACATGAAATGTGCATTCTTCACCAGGTCACCTCCTGCCCGCTGCATTTCTTCATATTTTAGCCACTGCTTCTCTATCTCACGCTTGTATTCCTCATGACGCTTGATAAGCAGTTCAGCTCCCAGGACATCATTTGCCAGTTCCTCAGATATCACTAGTGCATGCATCTCATTGGCCCAGGTCCTATAGAACAGAGCCAAAGGGTAAAAAGGGAAGGAATCTGAGTCTGTTGGATATTTGGGAATGCCCACACACATACTTATGGCTGTGGATGCATCTATACAGACTTCTGTTTCCTCACAAAAGATATTAATACTGTCCTGATTTTGGCTGACATAGAGTTAATTTTAGTAACTCTTAGTAACTGGTACAGTGCTGTAATTTTGATTTAGTATGAGAATAATGTTGATATCACACTGATGGTTTGGTTGTTGCTGGGTAGCGCTTACTCTAAGTCAAGCACTTCTCAGTTCCCCATGCTCTGCCAGTGAGAAAGTGCACAAGAAGCTGGGCAGGAGGGGAAACATAGCCAAGAAAGCTGACCTGAACTGGACAAAGGGATATTCTGTATCACAGAACACCATGCCCAGTATATAAACTAGGGGGAGTTGGTCAGAAGTGGCCATTTGCTGCTTGGGGACAGGCTGGGTACCAATCAGTGAGAGGTGAGCAATTTTATTGTGCATCAATAGTTTTTTTTTTTGGGGGGGTGTATTTTCTTCTTTTTTTTTTTTTTTAAATTATCATTATCATCTTCATAATGAGTATTATCATCATTAATATTATTATATTTTACTTTATTTCAATTATTAAACTGTTCTTAACACAAGTTGTTTTTTGTTGTTTGCTTGTTTTTTTATTTCTGATCCTCCTCCCCATCCCACTGGATGCCTGGAGGAGTGAGTGGCTATGTGGTACTTAGCTGCTGACTTGGGTTAAACTGTAACAATATACAAATACACTGATGAAAGTTTACTCAAATATCTATGGATTTTTATAACCTGATATAATATTTCCAGGGCTGTTTCCATAGATAATCTACTAGAAAGACAGCTGCAGCAACTATACATACTGAAGCACTGAGAATTCAAATCCTCAGAAAAAAACTAACTGCAAATGCCTAGGTTATACACATTAACAGTACTTTTATACGTTGTAAAGGAACACAGAGACTTTCAGATATCCATCAAAACCTTATCATCATACATGAAAGTACTTCATATGCATATAGAGCACTCCTGCAAAGAAGCATATTGATAGATTTTAAGGAAAATTTTCTACTCCATGAGTCTCAACTGGCATAAACCAATGCATCCTGATTTATCTGAGCTCAGGATCTATCCCTTAGCATAGTTAATATCCAATAGTCAGTAGTAACCACTTCACTCTATATTTCTACTCATTTCATAGATTAACTTCTTCATTATCTACACTGATCTAAAAATGTCCACATTACTTCTATGGAAATCCTGCTTTAAAACCACAATTTGCATTAAAAATGTATAAATGTTGATGAAGATGACATTAAAATGATGAAATATAATATTTAAGATTGGTCTGGCACTTTAGCATATTTCCATGAGCTATTTCAATTTTTACGTTAGACCTCTGATTATAGATACTTTGGCATGATTGATTTAAAAAAAAAAAAAGAGATTTAGCTCAAAATGCATTTTTAAAAACATTTGTAGATGCTTTAAACCTTCAGCATTTTGTTCTAATACTGATTTAAAAAACGAAAAAAAATAAAGGAATTTCCCAGCCATTGAATTCTTGCAAAAAAATGATCCCTAATAATAATGGACAGAAGAATGTTGGGCAATGCCATTAAATACATGTGTGCAAGATGCTTTCAGCACCTGAGCAAGTGCTAACCTATTTTAGAAGATTATCTTTAATGTAGTTGCTTTGACTCGGAGAAAAAGGGGCACTGGTAGCTGTGCAGGTGTACAAATTACTTCATTATCTAGCCAGAGATATCCCACCTTCCTATAGAATCAACAATATTTTCACTTGGAATTGTGAAACCACCAAATCTATCCAGAGTGACTGAATTCTCCAAGACTTCTTAGGAAATGGTCTAAAAATATAGTCTAAAAAAGTAGCTTTGTCATGCCCTCTGTGCTGAAGTGCTACGGTCACCTCTGATATGTGGTAAATTCTGTGAAGTGCTGTTGAGCAGATGCCATGAGAGAGACTTGAAAGCAAGCTGCAGAGCCCCTGGGACGGGGGTCAAAAACCTAACAGGTGGAATTTTAAAAATCCTATATAGGAAAAACAAGAAATAGGGCCCACTGTCAAGCTCCAGGGGCCAACACATACATCAGCTCCCTGCAGGCATTGAAGTAGAGCTGGACTTGTTCTGCCTGACTCAGTCTTGCCTTCCTCTCCAGAAATTTTTTGTCCAGTTTTTCCCAGGACTCTTCCACATCTGTGAGTCTCTCCATGATATTTTCCTTAACTTCAGGGTATGTGCGGCTGAGGTGCCAAGCCTCTCCTCGAATCCGTTCCAGCTCTTTCATGATGACTCCTAGATCTCTCTGGAACAGAGACAGAATGGATTGTAAGACCAAGTCACTACTTAGATCTATCAAAAGTAGATTTTAAAGATGGTGCATATCTTTTCTACCCACTGGCTGTACAGAGGCTGGAAATATGAATCTGTCAAGACTTTTTCTCTCAGTTTTCTTTCAATGCCTTTTAATATCCATCATCAAACATAAAAGAAACTTCTTTAGATGTAACACACTGATTATTTTGGTAGGTGTGGAGCTGTAGTCTCCCGTAGTTCAGATGACACCTTTGCAATTATAATAACAATTTTGAATAGATTTTATAAGAGAAACTCATCCTTAGGAGCAAAAACTTTATTAATATAATATCACAATCTTAAAAGCAGGAGGAAAAGGTCCTCTTCTGTGAAGCACAAAGAATATTTAAGGGTGCAATAAATTTATCTTTTGTTAGCCTGCAAGCAAGGCCCTTGAAAGGATTTAAAATCAAGCTTTTTTTTTTTTGCCATCTATGCTTTTCTGCCACTGCTTCCTGACAAATCCCCTTACCTCTACTCCCTCAAGATGACTGAGAAGTGTCTGTACACCTGGAAGATCATAGCCATAATCTTCTATATCCACCACTGCCTCTTTCTCCTGCATCCAGCCCTTTACTTCATCCACATCATGATCGTACTGGTGAACTTGACATGCTGCTCTTAGATTCTGCAATAAAGAAGCAATTTAATGGTAATAATGTACAGCATGTCTACAACACAAAAAAAGGTAACCCTAATATGTCATAATGCAGTAGAAACTGAACAAGGCCTGAAACACCTTCCCAATTAAGTCATCTGAAAGCGAGATGTTAAGCTAACCTAATTTCCCCAAGCTCCCTAGGACAGTGGAAAGAAGTGGATGTCTCCAAAGAGCAATTTATCCCTACATAAGAAGAATGATCAAAATGGAGAATGTGAATTGTCCTCTAAAGGTAGGTCTTTACACCTTTACACCTAAAGGTAGGTCCTAAAAAGCTTGCTTGGATAAAGGTCTACACTGCAAACTGTGAAAGTAAGAGGTGTTAAGTAAAATTCATATTTTTCTGAAATTAGAAGATTAAAAAATGTTCTAATACTATTTTATGGTCAAACTATATATTAACAATTGTCATACATTTATTTCTGCTAACAGACAATAGTGGGCTTGAGCCACCTTATAAGCAAAATGCGTATGCAAGAGTAGTAGAAAGAAAGAGTTGAGGACATCTGGTATTTTATGTTCTCCTTAAAACAAACAAAAATGTTGAGTTCTAGGTATCATCTCTGCTTTTTCAAACACATCTGTGACTGCAGTTTCCTGAGAGAGAGTGAGCTGATTTAACAGCTAACTGCTGCCAAAAGGTATGGGCTTTGACTTTGTGTCCTCTATCACAATCTCTCCCATATGCCTTCTTCGACTTCAAGTAGCTAACTTAGCAAAAAAACCTGGAGACTTTCAATCTTGTTTAACAAGCTGTTTAATAAGTAGTTTAATAAAGAGACCAATAAGTGTCAGAGCTGGACTCCTGTTAGTGGTGGCTTTGTTTTTCAGGAAACCAGAGTTAGCAGGGAATTAAAAAAAAAACAATTACTTGAGGCTGATAAATATCTTTGAAGTATAAGCCTTGCCAGGAACAGTAGGGTAAGCAGGGGCTATAAAGGGAAATGAATCAAGAAAGAATTGAACAAAATGCACTCATTTCTCTTATAAACCTTGTGTTTCAGCATGAGCAATGCACTGGTTTGGAAAAGAAAGAAGGATATGGGAGACTGCACGTAAATCAATAACCCAGTTTTTCATGTGTTTCCTACCTCTGTCCTCATCTGAATGGCATGGCATAGTTTCTCCCAGGTTTCATTGATTTGCTTTGTTCTTGTCTCAATAATGTCCATCTTGCTATGGCCTTCCTTAGAGAGTTTAGATGTTAATTCATTTAAGGAGACAACTTTAGAATGTCCCAGAGGTTTCACCTCATTTACAAAATCTTTAAACTTTTTCTCCAGCACCTGCAGAATAAATGGGGACACAGAATTAGATAGAAGAATTTCTGCCTACCTCTATGAGAGAGACAGAAGGAATCACTTTCTCTGTTCTGTATAACACAAAAGCTATGTATTGCAATCTACAAGTGCAAATCACTTGACAAATGATCTGGAGTCAGAAGAAGGCATCTACTGTCTTGATCATTTAACATCCTATGTCACAAGGAAAAATCACCCACATTCTGACAAGCAGAAGCTGCTCAGATCAAAAGCTAGTGAACATAACTTTTCTACATATGCAGCAGTTGTTGAGGAGTGGATACTATGACTTATACCTCTCTGCACTGTGTGTCCCAAGGAGGAATTTATCCTTGAAACTGGCAGCTAGAGGTGTGAATGCTGCATCCAAGAATTTTCTATAGAATTTGTTACAAGAGCATGGCCCATAGCCAAATTTTTTAGGTCCTGTCAAATTTATAATCAGGGTAAGCAGTGAAGTGTACTGACCTCACCTTATCCCAAGAAAAGCTAATCTGACACACTTTCTTTTTCTGTTGGAGGATGCTACCTCAGAGAGCCCTATATAACCAGACAGAAGCCAGTCAGCTCCTGCTGCAGAAACAACTGGTTTGCTTAGTTTTTGCAGACATAACACGCTTCACTGTCAGCAGCTGCACAAACATTGCAGGAAATATATTCCTGCTTTGCCACACAATACATGCAATACCTTTTATTTTCTTTTACCTCAACATCATCTAAGTCCTGCCCATAGTCATCCGACTCTGCTACAGACTGTTTACTGGAAAGCCATGCATCCACCAGCTGGAATTCTCTTTCAAACTGATAGAGCTGGAATTGTTCTTGTAGGCATTTTCTCTGGGTCTCAGACTTCTGTAGGAGAGACTGGTAGTCTGCTAGGATCCCCTGGAGCTTTGAAAGTATGACTGAGCTGCAAAGAACAAGAATCAGAAGGTATGTCTTTGTTTTATTGTTCTTTTTGAACATTGTCTTTTCTGACGTTGGATTTGCAATGCCTTTAAAATACAGAATAAACAAGAAAACGTCATGGAGTGAGTTATGCTGTGCCATTAAAGCCAGCTAGTTCAAAAAATTAAAGTATATCATATAAATGGCTGCTCTTTACACTTCCTTTCCCCCAGATATAAACACAAACTTGCAATAAAAACAGTGAACTGTCAAGAATATTCATTTCCTTTCTGAAGCACAGTGGGAAAAAACAGTCATGAAAACATTAAAACAATCATCAAGCTTTTGGGGAGCTCAGTGTGTCTGATGGTGATGAAGGAGGGTTGGATGTCCCCTCAAGTCTTATTTCTGAAGGAGCCATCAAACTTTTCCATATTTGCCTTCTCTAGGCATTTCTGTTAGACCTGGAGAAGAAGCCTGTTCTCACTTTCCTACCTCTCTGGACTGTCTTTGTTTATTAAGCTGGCACCTGTCTCCTGTACTTTCTCGATCCGGGACCTGAAACTATCCATGTCCAGTTTGGTAGCTTCAAGTTTACGAAGTAAGACTTGCGTGGATTCTTCATTCTTCCCATAATCCAAGGTATCCAGAATGAAACTCCTCTCTGCCAGCCATGCCTCCACCTCCAGTAGCTGTATAAAATACAGGGATGGACCTTAACATAGTTTGGTTTAGGTCAAGATAAAGAAAACTGGAAAGCAGTGGTGCACTGATCTATCAGTGAAATCAGAGAGTAGCTTAGGTGTCTTCCTGTAATGCAGTCTAGCAGACACTTCCAAAAAATATGTACCCAGAACCCAGCAACTGCAGTTACATGTTACTCACTGCAGTTAGTTGAAAGGTAATTGTTATTTCTCCACTGTACCCATATTTACCAGACATGAAAAATTGGGAGAGTATGAATTCTGTTCCTTTCTCAGCTCTTACATCCATTCAACAATACAGATTCTTTTAAGCAAAGAATGACCAAAATAAATCTCTCAGGAAACATTTTTACCTCATTTAGGAACAGATGGGCCTCATATGACTGCATGAGCCTCAGTCTCCTCTCTTGAGCCTCTGCCTTCAAGTTTTCTACAGAAGTCTCAAGTTCCTTCAAATGCTGCATAATCTTGAGGGAGGCTGAGTGGCCTCCCCTTACCAGTTTCTGTCCTGTACTGAGCACTGCTTTGGTCAAAGCATCCCGACTGTTTATCTCATTCTCCAAATTCTGGAAAGAGTAAGGGTAAAGTGACATATCAAAAATAAAAGTTGTGGAGATTTTTATTCCAGAAAACCTAGTCATGTAATTATGAATTTGCTTCCTATTCATGAAGATGAGTCAGAGGTACAAAGTCCAAGTGCATGCTCTTAGTGGAGTGAAGGAGCTTTTGGAGGTGAAGGCATAATTATAGAAATCAAATTTAGCCATGGAACTTTGTTGTGTATCCACCTCAGAGTCTGGAGGGAAGAGGTTGTAAGCATAAACCTCTTATCTGTAAATTCCACCGAAATATACTCACTTTCACTCCATTACATGGTGTTTCTTGAATGGTGTACCTAGGTAAGAAAAACCAGTTTGCCTGCTCATTAGTTTTTATCACGTGCCGATGCCTTTGTAGAAAAGCATAACAGACATTGCAAATGCTGTGGGTACATATACTATCAGGCAGCTAACAGGACAAGGAGAGAAGAAAACTACCTGAATCAATTCTGAAAGACTTTCCTTGAAATTAATTTTTGAAGACTGGTAGATTTAAAAACTATATGCATACCTCTGTATAGCCTCTCATATGATATTTGCCTGGGTAGACAAGGACCATGCTGTGATTTATCTGCAAGCATATGTGCATTCCTTGTCTGACTATGCCTGAGCACCTTGAGCACAAACCCCACAATTTTACAGGTGTTCTGTTTAATTTCATAGCTATGAAACAGTAGCTTCAGAGTTAGACTGCAGTGCTGTGTTAATGTAGAAAAGATGTCTTCTATGAGGAGAGGAGCCGCTTTCTCAACTTAAGTGTCAAGCTTGGCTTGGCTGGAAAAGAGCTCTGATTCTAATCTTGCCTTTAACTTCCACCGATAAATTTCAAGACGGTCACTATGCTGTTGAAAACTGACACCATATCTGCTCCAAGCCAAGCAGTTGCTTGTACGCATATTATATTTGTGTGTAAATGCTGTTTTGCAAGACAGTGTGGGGTTTTTTTCCCTTTGGCTAGTGCATTTCATGCACAATCTCTTTTGTGGTAAAACCTCAAGTTTTTCAAATCTGACTCATTAGGTTGAACAGTAGAGGGTGGAACTAATAGTATATTCAACTCTTGACTGTTAAATTCTTGACTGTTATGTTACCTCTGACATTTGCTAGCTTGTAAATCAACATTAAAACAAGGTGTAGAGGCTCTAGCTACTAACACATTGAGAATTCAAACTTATATTTTAGTCCTGTTTCCAGAAAAATAAGAAGTAAGATGGCAGGAAAACTGGCATTTTATTATGTACTGATAATCTGGTCTATATCTCCCATTCTCACAGTTCATTGAACAATTTTGAGACTTAGCTAATTAAAATTAAGATAATTGCAGCCTAAAGCAGCCTAACTGCTCCTTCAGTTATTTGAAATACTTTCTCAGATTAATTCAGCTCAAACATTCTTTTCTTCTGTGAATCTAATTATCTTCCTACCACGTCAACCACAATTTTTAGGAGTAATTGCACATATAACAACATTTATACTTTTAATCTGGATGAAACAAGCTTTTTATTAGTACTGGTTGATAATGATTGTATCGAATGCTTGGGATTTCTCTCTCACTGTATATATATCACTACATTCAAAATTTTTATGATTTCTGTCTTTCCCAATCCTAAAGCAGGTTGAACAGATTTTTCCCCCAGAGGCACTTACTGTGGCACTTAAATGTGCTGCCATTTGCTAACATTAAATACCAACAGCTGCTGGAAACTTTTAGTGGGAATATTTTTTTCTTCCACCTCGTGTTTGCAAAGAGACTGTGCTCCTTATTAAAAAATTATCAGGAAGGCAGCTGTTGTTTTACTGGTATTTGAGATGACAGTATTCCAGATGCTGCTTTCTCTGATGGCCTGTCTGAACCTCATGAAATAATTCAGCAGCTGTTTTGAAAGCTACCACTGGAATGAAGGTTGTCTAGGGTTTGTAATAATTCCCTGCTATTTCCCTTCCTTCAGAGCACAAAAAGTTTTGGGGAAAAATGTTTTCCTGGGAGATCATCCTGAGACATCTGAGCAATGAGCTTTCTTGGATGTACTTACTGAGTTTCAAAGCATTTTGTTAGGACATCTGTTGCCCAAAGAACCTATGAAAGCACACAAAAGTTTGTAAAATCTATTTTGTACTGAAAAGGTCAGGTTTTTAACTCAGTTCATAGAAAGAGCCAATGTATCCACAGAAAAGCATATGGTGTGGTACTTGAACCACTGCAATGATAAGCAGGATGGAATCTCACATGTTGCCAAGCCATGGACATATCCATCAAAAGTGAAAGGGAGAAGAGGCATCATGACTCTTGTTAGCCAAAGCATAGCAGACAAAGTTTGATACAGACAAATTCAGTTCAGTGTTCTCCATTTGATTCTAAAGACTGTGAATAGTTCTCATATGACATTACCTGGTGCTTTTCTTGTAGACTCTGAACAGTTGCCAGGGATTGGCCATAATCCCTGGAGGAAGCCTGGGGGAGCTTCTCATGAACCCAAGCCAACTCCTCATCAACATCTCGGAAGAATTGGTACTGAAGTCTGCTTGCCTCCAGATTCCCGCGTCTCTCCTGCAGAGGATCACGTAATCTTTTGTATCTGTAGGTTTTAAAGATAATCCAGTGAGGACCGCAGATTGGTTCAGAATGGTGTAGAGAAGGAAAGAAAAAAGAATATTCAGGGAAGAAATAGGTTGATAAAAGTAGGAAAAAGATGGCAGGAGACAGGCCAGGTAGTTACACACCTCTGCACCAGTTGATCTACTCTCTCTTCTAGTTCATCAGCAAGAAAGTGTTTCTCCTTCTGGAATTGCTGAGCTGTGACCACAAGCTCTTGCACCCGGTCCCTGTGGCCAGCAATATGTTCCTCCAATTCCTCTTGTTTCTTCAGATGACTGTTCAAAACCACCAGATCATTGCTACTGTATGGTGCTTTCAGCTCATTTTCCACACCTTCCAACCATTTCTCTGTGTCCTCTACACTTCGCTGAAAATGAAGACCCTGAGAACAAGCATAAAGAAAAGATATTTAAACGTTTAGGACATATAATGTGATGTAAAAATCTTCATCACTTTCAGTAAGAATTACACACAAACATTGAGTGACTTCCCAGTGCTCAGTGAACTCTTCCCAGATATGATTCTTGAAATGAAGAAGAGAATTCAGTCATGGTGAAGACAACAACAGATGCAGAAAACATCAAGATTTCATCTCACTTGTGTTGCATAAATGCAGATCATGGACACAGTACCTTAAAGGGAAGCCATTTAAAGGGAGAGCTCTGTTTTCTAAACAAAGATCTGAGAGCCCATGCAGAACTCCCAGTCACAAGAATTCACGTGCCTAGAGCTGGAAGAATGAAAAGCAGCTGTGGGCTTCTTTCTCAATGTACTGGAGAAAAGATGCCCTTGTGACAGATGAAGAGAGCTGACACATATTAGTAAACATATTTTTCCTCAACATCCCTCTCTGGAATCTGGATCTAAACCAGCAGCAGAAAACAGAAGGGAGCCCAGCCTACAGATCCTTTTCCCTCCATAGGAATGTACAGTTCTCCTGCCAATTCCATTCAGCCAGTCTACGTTTTTTAGTTTCTTTGCACTAATGGTCTTGAGGAATCAAGTTTGATTGTATCAAGTGACACACTTGTAGATGAGACATGTAGCAAGGCAGCTGTGCTATCTCTGGAAATGACAACAAGGTCCACTGGTATGTTGTATTACCTTGTAAGCATCTTGCAGTTTGGTCCATTTCTCCTGGCAACTTGCTAGCAGTTCCTCCCATAGCTCATCCATTTCTTGTAGTCTGGACTGAATGGCTTCTGAGGCATGGTGCCTTTCATGGAGCATCTTCTCCCCTTCCTATAGCACAGCGAACAAAGTTTTCTTCCTTTGTTGAATGCAGCAGAATATATCACTTTTGCCTCCATAAACAAAGCCTGCTGTCACAGCTATGTAAAGGGCCAACTGCAATTGCCGTTTCCTCACCTAGCACAGAGAGGCTACAGAGACAGAGAAAAAACTAATAACTGCAAAAGGGTTACTGAAACCTGGGCAGAGAATGCATAGCAAGGTAAGCAAGATGTACAGCTAAAGAAAGTTGCTATAGCAGGTCAGTAGATGTTCTAAAGAGCAACTACTAAGGCTATTTCCAATGAAAAAGGCAGAGCATAAAGAAATAATGCGAAAGAGATTGTACAAACAAGAAAGGGAAGGGAAGGTTTGGGAAGGGAAGGGAAAGGAAAATAAAATGAGAAGAGAAGAGAGAGAAGAGAAGAGAAGAGAAGAGAAGAGAAGAGAAGAGAAGAGAAGAGAAGAGAAGAGAAGAGAAGAGAAGAGAAGAGAAGAGAAGAGAAGAGAGAGAAGAGAAGAGAAGAGAAGAGAAGAGAAGAGAAGAGAAGAGAAGAGAAGAGAAGAGAAGAGAAGAGAAGAGAAGAGAAGAGAAAGAAGAGAAGAGAAGAGAAGAGAAGAGAAGAGAAGAGAAGAGAAGAGAAGAGAAGAGAAGAGAAGAGAAGAGAAGAGAAGAGAGAGAAGAGAAGAGAAGAGAAGAGAAGAGAAGAGAAGAGAAGAGAAGAGAAGAGAAGAGAAGAGAAGAGAAGAGAAGAGAAGAGAAGAGAAGAGAAGAGAAAGAAGAGAAGAGAAGAGAAGAGAAGAGAAGAGAAGAGAAGAGAAGAGAAGAGAAGAGAAGAGAAGAGAAGAGAAGAGAAGAGAAGAGAAGAGAAGAACAAAAGGTTTTGCTAAGATAGTGATTACAGGTGAATCTGGAGGAGGAAATCTAATGATTAGTAATATATTGCAAAATACAGCTAGTAAGCACTGTGCTGAAAATAAAGTTAATTAACATGTAACAGTCTGTCCTTCCAAACTTATCATCTGATCACAGCTTCTGCCAAGTATCTGACAAAGCTTGTCAGGCTTCCTTCATATCTCGCCTACCAATATGTATCTGCAAAGGAAGTACTTGAAAAATCTTTATCCTTTTTGTTAGATACCTGTTAAAGGTTGTGCACCCAATCAGCTAGGTTCTCCACTAGAGAGAAACCAGTACATCTAATGTAGCATCCACCCCAGAGAGATGTTCCTAAAGTCAGTGGAATGAACCTTTTATTGAAGGCACTTGTCTGTTTCCTTTGCATCCGTGGTGAATATAGATAGCAAGCTAGCATTGGATAATAAGAGAGAGTGGGAAGAAACTGATGGACACAGAAAATTCTTGATGGACTAAAATAATAAGCTTCCTCGTCCCCTCAGAAAGAACATGAATAACATCAGTGATGAGACAGTGATTCCCCCTCACTTGTTTGAGATCACTGTAACTCTGTCTGCAGAGTCTTTCATCCCAATTGCCCACCCCTGCCATCAACCCCGCTTCTCTCACAGATTTGATGGAGTCCAGATGATTCTTATTGGCCATGATCTCTGCTTGGAAAGTCTGGTGTTTCTGCAGTTTGGTCTGCAGATTGCTTGGATCCTTCCAGCTATCATCCTGGGCAATGCTATTCTTCTCATTAATCCAGGCAGCCACCTTTGGTGAGGAAAGAACAGAAGTAACCAAAACCTTCAGTGTTTCTTCAGGTCCAGCCTGTCAGTCTCTCCTCTTATATGTATAAAACAGGGAACCAGAGAGTGGGGACCCAAGTGAGTTGTTCTTCTGAGGTTCTGCTTCCCTAAGCTCCTCCTGTCCTTCATAAAGTCACCTCTCTATGTCTGCTTATGAGCACTGTTACCTGGAAAGGGGGATGGTTCCATGGAGTGAGAAAATGCATGGACACCTGTGTGCATGAGGGAGAATAGACAATGATCTCCCTATTTCTAACCCATTGTCAGTATCTTCTCATGGGTTTTTAAATGGTGGTACATTCCCTTTTAATGCTTTCATTTCTTCTGCATTTTGCTGGCATCCACTGTACATTAGACCTTTCATCTGATTGCTAGAGGGAAGATGAAAAAAATATCCCTTTATTCTTATTCTCATTTTCCGCAATATTATCTCATTCCAGACTCAGTTCCTTGATTTTTCTCACAGTAAATCTGTCCAGGGATTCAGACCTATGCGGCATAGCATGTTTTGAGAAACTAGAATACCATGAATCCTGTGTAATTGTACCTCAAAGGAATTCCTCAGGAACTTCTGCAGAAGCCTTGATTCCTCTAGCAAATGTCTGCGAGCAGCAGCATTCTCCAGTAGTCTCTCTTTTCTGAGATGAAGACAGATGTGTGAGGTCGAAATCACAGAGTGAATTAGATAAGGGTTTCCAAATTTCACTTCTAGAACACACATGCTCTAACCCTCCATTCTTTAGGAGGGAAATGTCCATAACATACAGACTCCCTTGATCTGAACTGTTAGAGAAGATGATCGGTGCACTGATAGGAAGGATTGCTAGCAGATATGTTTAAACTACACACAAATTCTGTACATATGATATTTGCCTTTAGGAATAACCATTACTGCCTTTCAGAGTTCAAGAGAACATAAGCTCAGCATGTTTCTTATGTGGAAATACTGTAAGCATCATGGTATTTGCCGTGCATAAACCAAAGCTACACCATCCTTTAATCTCTTTAGCAATTTTGGATCTGCAGCACTTTATTCATGTTAATGCAGATTTGAGATAATAATAAATAGTATCAAATTAGATCATATTAATAAATTTGTATGTTCACTTTAATTATAAGGGGTCTCTAATCTCTTTTCATAACTTTTATGTATATCTTTTCATCTACCATAGCAGTGAATACAACTGCTTTTACTGTCAGCATTTGTTTATGATGAACAATACGCAACGTGCTACAAGAAATAAAGTAGTTCACATGAAAGGGCAAGATCTGATCAGAAATCTGAGCAGGGCTTTAAGATCAACCCTATTAGAGCAGTGAAAAAGCAGTTGTCTAGCTAATGACCTATCTTGATGGTATTAAATGATAATGAATTATTTAATGGCACAGCAGACCTCAGTCTTTTTTTTGCAGCACTGTCCCTAAGGCCAGAATACAGAATTACAGAAATCTGCCTTTTTCTGCATCCTGCTCACTCTCCACTTAATTTTGCATTTTGGACACCTCCTGATGAAATTATTATTAGGCTCAGGCCAATATGGGAATACGACAGTGCAAAGCACAAAGGTGAGCAAATGCAAATCAGTTTTTAGTTCTCTTAAATAATTTAAAGACATTAATCAGCATGGAGAGGGTCTTATCACAGAAAGGATGACATGGGAAAGGTTTGACTTCACCTCCTCAAAATGGCCTGGCATCTGTTGGTGATGTTGTCTGAGTCATAATGCTTGTTCTGTGCTAGCTGCTGAGAAAATGAAGCCATTTCATCAATTTTCTCCATCTGAACTTCCAGTGCTTTTTCAAACTGTGTGTGTTTCTGCTGTAGGCTCTCCACACTAGACAGTGAGTCCTGGATAGAAGACAACAAAAGGTAGCTGCTTTCAGTCAGAGTTTTTCCATCCACAGCACTGATAATCCACAATCTAAATGGCATTTACCCCATATTTGCAAGCTAGCTGTCAAGAAAATTTATTGTTCTTTGAAATGTATTGGCACTGAATATGACACTTGGGGCCTAAATAAGGTTCTATGCAAGGTCTGAGGTCATTATTTCAGGGTCAAAACTGAACTGACTGCTAGATGCTTAGCTTCTCATGCGTATTGTTGTGCTGCATAGAACACATAAGTTCTCAAGAATTAAAACATGAGAGCCTAATTATAAATCAACCTTAAGACAGATGCTATGTTGAAAGCAAATATGGAATGCTAAGCAGAAATCACAGTTAAGTGAACAAATATGTCACAGAAGAAGGTTAAAATTAGAGCCTCAGTTTCAACTCATGGAATTTAGAAGAGCTCTGATCCAGATTTGAATTTGAGGACTAAAGTCTGACATTACAGTTCATCTGGAGATAAATACAGAATTTGACTTCTTGTAATGTTTGTGAATCCCAACCTTAATGACTCAGAGTTCTCTTTGCAGCATCCCTCTGGACTTTAAATTATAGATTCAGTGGAGTCAAAATGTTGTTACTGTGATAAACTCAGCTTCCCCACAACTCTAAAGGAAGCAATAAAGCTTGCATCAAATGGTTCAGAAAAAAATTCAAACTTCTGGGTGCTTACATGAGTCATTGGATGGGAAATTACTCACAGAGTATTTTCTGTACATTGCTGAGCTAAATATGATTGGGTGACTCCTTGTAAGTCTCATACTGTAATGAAAGGACTGTAAATACATACCTCTATGCTGAGAATTACAGAGGCAGACACCAGCCACTAGCATTTTATCGTTTTCATACCATTTGTACCCATTGTGTCTACACTGAACTCTGAGATGTCATTGTCATTCCTGCAGAGACAACTAATTAGGTAGCACCACCTACACAAGATGCAGGATAAGCTAAGTATCAGAACGTATATCTGGCATCGTACACAGCTCTTGCAACCCATGCATCACTTATTGCAGTGTTGCTGATACCTGTGATAGGTAATTTAAAGCTAAACTGGGTATGTAATCAGTGACAGCCGTGATGACTTGTGTACTGCTGGCAAGGGTATTTGGGTCAGATATGACAAGGCCGGGCTGAATGGAGCATTGAGCAACCTGGTGTAGTGGGAGGTGTCCCCACCCATGGGAGGGTGGTTTGAACTGGATGATCTTTCAGGTCCCTTCCAACCCAAACCATTCGATGATTCTATACAGTCTCACTTTCCTGTTATAATCAGAGTAGTTGGATTGTTTCATTACTCTTGGGGCTGAAAATCCCATCCTGAGTAAAGTATCAAGGAAAGAAATCTGATTCTAAACCACCAACAAGACAGAGCAGTAAGGAGAAAGACCACAGGAAGGTTCAGAGCACATTACCATACTTCACAGTCCCCTTTCCATCAGACTGATTGCAGAGAAAATTGTAATTTCTCAGAGCACATACCCCTGAGTCCTCATTAGCTAGGAAAGCTTCTTTGCTGCTGAGCCAACTCTCAATCTGTTCCACATAGCCATAGAATTTCTGTATAGGGAAAAAAAGCAGCCATAAACATGAAAAAATGCTGTAAAAGAGAGGCTAACCTGATTTCGGCAGAGTACACTGAAAACCCCTGAACTTTCATGGCTATTTAAAAAATTAACTGCATAGCACTGGATGGCAATAAGCATTAGATTCTAGAAAAAACATATGTAACAATTATTATTGTGACTTTCTCCTTAATAATAAGACTATTTCTTTCTTGTCTAAGACATAGGATACAATATAAGTACTTCTAGATTGTTTTTTAACAGTGTAGAGAAGGCTGCATAAGTAACTGGCCAATGAAAAGTTAGTAACACAGCCAGAAATAAGTACTATGTAATACATAAAGAAGCATTAAAGCAGCCCATACCATATGATTTAAGTTCTCATATATATGAAGATTTTTGATGGAACTAGTAGCCCAGCTTTTATTTAAAGTATTTGACATTCCCATTTTTAAAATCCCTGTTTGAGCAGAAATTTTTTAAGTAAGATGACTATTACAGGGAAGTATTTCTAGGAAACTACAGCCAAAACAGTTCTTTTCTTAGGGAAAAAAAAAACACCCAGGAAAAATTAATTATTCTGTTAATGCTAAATTCATCTTCAGATTTTTTTTTTAAATACTTGTCTGGCTCCATGTTTTTGGGGAAGGTTATAGAATTTGGTAGAGTCATGATGTTGCTTTTAAATATGTGTTTTTTTCCAGCTGTATGAGAGTTTGAGCACACTTTGCTAAGTTTTAAAGGCTTTGAAAAATTTATGAGCACATATTTCACAGAAATTTCTGTGATTGTAACTTAAAGCCCTGTAAGCACTGAATGTGCTTGGCCCTCAGCATGCCTTCTGAAAACCAGTGAAATATATATTAAACACTGGGTATTATTAGCGTTATACTACCTCACAAATGTGCTGTTTTTATCAAGGAAAACTGTCAGTGGCACGTGCATTCTCTCTTGAATGTCTTTTTACTCACCTGTAAGTCTTGTGCCTGAAACAATTTTATATATCGCTCTTTCCATGCTTGGGTCAATTCAGACCAGGCTAGCTGTAGTCTGGAGAGGGACTGGTGAATCTCGGGGGTTGCATAGTGACCAGAATTGGCAAGTTCTTTACCACAGTCACTGAGAGAGTTGAATCTTTCCACTCGTGCTTCAATCTCCTCCTAAAATATATTACTAAGGTTGATGTCAAGGGTTTATGAGAAGCCAGTTATTCAGAATACAAGCCTTAAGGGGAAGAATATGGGCTGTAACTTTCCAGCACTAATAGCTGTATGGAAAATCATTCATCTTTCTTTGAGCTATGTTACTGGAAGAGCATAGAATTGCTAAGAGAAAATAAGTGTAGAAAATGAATTACTTTATTGCTTTAGGAACAACTGTTTTCCTACAAATGAAAATTGGGATTAAATTAGAAACAATCTACCTCCAGTCTTCCTACATAAAGGTAGTTCTTATGAGAGACAATGCCTAGAGTTTTTCACCTCCTGACACATAACTTGGCATCAGACTTTTACATTAAAGACATAGTTTTACTTTATTTTGTGGTGTTAAAATGAAATACATTTAACTTTTGCACCTAGTCTGAGGAATGAGTTATGTCCATATACTGAGTCCTGGAGGCAAAAACAACTATGGCCCCTGCAAACCAAATGTGGAATTTCTAATGCATGCAATTTGAAAATGAAAATAACCATGCACTGAAATAATACCATGTATTAACTCATAAACTACCTTAAACACTATGGCATGTACTATTAAATTTCTGAAATTAGAACTGCAGCTTTTAGGGATTTTTGGGGTTGCGATCTTGCCTAATCAAAACACAGCTGTAAAAGAGTAATTTCATGGGGTTTTTTTGTTTCACATCAGCATCTTATGTTCACCTCTAATCTCTCCAAAGGACTTTATTTTGAGCCAGTAACCTAAATGAAAAAAAACTCTCAATTTTTCTTGTTTTGTCTATAATTTTAGTTTAGTCAACATAAGAACATATTGCCTGGATTCCTCCTTTTCTGTATGACTGTCTCCTTAGAGCCATTTGGGCTCCTTTACTAGCAGATATTAAAGACTTAGATCTTGCTTCCATTTAAATTTGGAGCACACTACATCACTGGATATTTTTAGTGTGACAGAAACATTGTGAAGTCTGTGATATAAGAAAGCATTGTTAAAATTAAAGACTAAAAAAAAAAGAGGGAATTTCAGGTACTTTGTACTAAATTCAGGTTTAGAAAATTATTCAGAATCTACAAACTATTTGTGCTAATTATGGGACCCACAAAGCACTGGATATTGGTCAAGATTCTGAGAACACGATTTCTAGAAAAAGTAACTTAATTGCAGAGAGAATGTAACAAAACAGCTGAAGGACAGCTATGATGCTTGGGAAAAAGTAAAATATTGATTTTTTTTCCCCACTAAGGTTAATCAAGAATATCACTCCTTTTAGAAAAGAAACCAAAAATATTAGCCAAATTAGCCACCAAAATATTGTGTTGCAATTGAAGTGTTTTGGAACTGAATGTGTAGCACTGTTCAATGGTAATTTACTGCCCTGTGTGAAACAAACTGCTGTTTCTATTTTTTTCTCAGGCAAAAGGAGTTTGCATGAAAAAAACTAAATCAAAGCCAGAATTGACTGGCATGAACTTTTTGGGCAATCTTAATAAAGAGATCAGCAGCAAGCATAGTGTGATACTGAACCTGTTTTTTAACTACAGGCTTGGACAGCAGTACAGGTGAGAGCTAATGGGGCTTTCTGAGCCTTTCTGAAAAGACACAAGCTGTCAAACAGCCCACGAGACACAGTTTTGTCAATATGTAGGTGACTTCTATCTCTAATCTGGTATTGAAAAGTTTTTTACCTGTTACTGACAGATGCGTGCAGCAAAATTCTGCTGTATCTGCAGCAAATAAGAAAGATTCGCAGTATGTTCAATTGGAAGCAATGGTGATACTTGCCTTTCTCTCCTGATGCTCCTCAATCATACTTTCGGCTTCATTTGCGCTTTTAGGAAGCCCCCCTGCTTCCATTAACCCTCTGATGTTTTGGGTCCAGTCTAGTAACTCCTTCATCTCCAAGTTGAATTTCTGCAACTGATATGAAGCTGCCAGCTTCTCCTTCCTGCCACACAATGTGCAATTCAGCATTATCCAACATAGAATTATTTAATTGCTTCTCTCTCCCCATTTGCAGAGGAAAGTATCTTAGGAGAAGCCAAATGAAATGAATTCAAGCTTTCCCTTACAGTTCCTAGCCGTCCTCATGTCAACTAAAATCATAGGAAATGCACACTGCTTTGGAGACAACATGCTTACTATTTTTACTACATCAGCTCATTAGCACAAGAAAGGCAAAAAAGCCTTCATAGCTGTTGCTTCCAGCAATGATTACAGACCAGGCCTAAGCCTTTCTTGTTTTGGAAAGATTTGAGAAAAAAATATCGCCTAGAACTATCCAAAAATAAGTCTTTCACAAAGGCTTTATGATAGATTTAATTTGATAGTCACAAGGCATTATTTAATGAGATAAACCACAAAAATTGCATTAGTTTTCTCAAAGTCGTATCAGTGGAATTTTGTGTGTGCCAACTCACACTTTTTCCAGTGTAGGTGTCTAAGACGCCTGTGTAAACTTTGTAAAGAATCCTTAAAAACTTTTAAAAGGCCCCTGGCAAGCAGAGTTTAGACCCCAGAGAAAAGCTTTTCTCCTGCTGAGAGATATTCAAACCACTCTCTAAGTCTTTACCTTTGTTTGGCCTGTCCCTGGAGTCGTAGCCAGTTGTTTTTCATCTCCTGTTGCTTCATAGTCAGTTTGTCATTTATGGATGGATTCCTTGTGGAAAGGTGGAAAGATTCCAATTCCAATGTCTGGGAAGAGATTTATAGTGGGGTGAATTTATGCCAAATGCTTATATTCATTCCTGAGTTTGCCTTTTAGGAAAAATAGTTCATATTAAGATCCTAAGCAGGTACTTAAATTACGATAACAAAATAAACAAAGGGAAGATGTTATATGCAAAAAACCAATACATATGCATTTGCAAACAAACATCCATGTGAAGAAAGATAAGTGTGCACTGCTTCACATGTACAAATGGTAATTTACAATGAAAAAAATAGTTTTGCAGAATATGGACAAACATAATCTAACTAAGCCTAACAAAATCTAACTAAATGTAACAAAAGCCATGAAAATATGGAACAGACAGAAACAAACAGATTTGCCTTTCAGCAGAAGGCTCAACAATTTTTTGTATGTGTCTCAGCTAACAGCAGCAACAAACCACGATTTTCAGTGTAGACTTCTAGTTGATGTTTTCCTTAACACAGACTGATAAACAGTAGAGAACACTCATCAACTCAGGTTTAAAGCTGGTAACTTTCTTCCAAAATTCCATCAAAATTATGAAAATGAATAATTCTAATTAGGCAGAAAGGAGAATATGCCAGGCTGGTTTTAATCATAAAAAAGTACAGTTACTATACTTTGTACATGGTACTTGTGGTACTATATCAAAAAAAGCAAACCCAAACCCAAATGTAAGAATTGATACACATGCAGGTAAACCCAGATACCAAACCACTGCTAAGATATTAAGGAAAAGTTTACTCTGAAGTCAGAAACTCTAAATATGCTGCTAAAATCTCACTATTGAGAACAACACCTTTGGAGAAAGTTTGTAAAAATATTTTCTATATGACAGGAGTCATATAACTGACCATAACACTCTGGTCAACAGTGAAAAAATGTGAGACATTGTCACAGCATTTCCGCTACTGTGGTTCAACAGAAAATACTTCTTTTTATTAAAAATATACAACTATATAGGAGCTTAGACCCATATCTAATGGTTAAGATTAGTCCTAAGTGATGCAAACTGGCCATTTTACGAAAGCCAGAGTGGATCAGGCAGGCAAGTATAATCTAAGATTCCTGCGTTTGATGTCTGTGTCAGGACATTACCTGCACCGTGGGCTTTATATCTAAGTTTTAAACAGAACTAGAGTTGTGATTTTGGTCAATTCAGTACGGAAACTGGGGGAAAGATGGACTCCATACTTTCCAAAAGGTATAGGATAGTCTGATCTGGTTTGTAAATGAGAGCAAGAGAGTCAGACAACATGTTAAAAAGGGACTTTTCTTCTTAGATTTAGTGTATCAGAAAGAATGATATTGATACGATAAAGCAGGAATAATCAGAATGGTATTTTACTGAGAAGAAATTTATGCTGCATTTGCATTGCAGAAAATTCATACTAATCAATCCAAATGATTTTTGCACCATATTCCCAAGAAGCAAAAATGAAATTTTTTACAGTACTTCCTCACTTCTTACCTCCATTTTGGACTTTATAACACTGATTTCTCTCTCCATTTCTTCATGTCTTCGAATCAGGTTTTCCACACTTTCCACATCTTTTCCATAATCCAGTGCTTGTATAAGTACACTCTGGAAGGAGCAGTAAGATGTGCAAATGGTGAAGATTACACAAAGCAAAAGGATCATATCTTAATTATTTCAAAGAGTCTTTTCCTTCACTTCTTTGCATTGCCATCTAAATGTTCTTATTGTCTTCTTAAATATCAACAGAGTGCATTGTCTGCTTTCTGGTACAGAAATAAAACAAGAATCCACATCACTTTGAACAGTCATAATTCCGCTTAAAATGCCTCTGGCCATTCACATGTAAAACAGAGACAGGCATGCTTCCCTGCATTTCTCAGTCTTTCTTTTTCCTTTTTTTTCCAAATACCAAACCAGAAAAATATTTCCCGATAAATTGTGGCACAGAAATTTTCAGATATGTATTATGAAAATATGAAAAGTAAAATTTACTCTCAAGCTCCTAACAGAAATTAGATCCCATAAAATGAAGAAATACATTTGTAAAAGTTGCTATAAAAATTCTGAGCCAACAGCCTCATGGTACCTTAAGTAGTACCACTTGCCTACTGACACATAGTTAAATAAATATATAATATTATAATATCTATAATAATATATAGTATATATATGATCCAGGATAGGTATTTTTACTTCAATTTTCTGAATGAATAAGATTTTATGCAACTTCTCAAAGCTGCATACTTAATAGGTCTGTATTGCACAGCAGGGAGAGATATGCAAGCTAGTGTTGAATGAACTGGCTTTGAATTTGCTACACTAGAAGTTGTATTCAAGCTAAGTAGGTAATGCAGAAACAGCTCTATGGTAACTCAGCTAACTGGCTTTTGGTATTCAGAACCAGCTTGGCTCAGCATTGTCTGAAGGAGATGCATACCTGTGCCAGTAACACAGCAAAAAATAGGCAGCAGTCCCTTAGTTTCTAAGATATGTACTCTACTTACTGCATCTTGCTGTGTTTGTTTATTGTGGGAGGATTTGCTAGACAACATGGAGATGTTTAGAAATGTAAGGATGCCACTACTTCATGACTTGTCTAATTCTGCTTACAGTTAGTGGAAAGGAGTCATTGCTGGGGGATAATTTATTTCATCTGGGAGGTACTGGAAAACACCCAAAAGACAACACTGTCATCGGTCACAGCCAGCACGGCTTCATGAGAGGAAAGTCCTGCTTGTCAAATCTGATTTCCTCTTATGACAAGGTAACCCACCTAGCTGATCAAGGGAAGCCAGTTGTAATCTTTTTGGATTTCAGTAAAGCTTTTGATGCTGTCTCTCACAGGATCCTTCTGGACAAAATTTCCAGCACATTATCCACAATATCCACACAGCTGGATAAACACATCACACAGTGGGTGAGCAGTCGGCTCACAGGTTGAGCACAGAGGGTAACAGTGAATGGGGTGACATCAGACTGGTGCCCTGTCACTAGTGGAGTTCCACAGGGCTCCATCTAAGGCCCTCTGCTCCTCAACATCTTCATAAATGACTTGGACACAGGACGGGAAGGGATATTAATTTTGCAGACAACACAAAACTGGGAGGAGCTGTTGAGTCCCTCAAAGGCAGGGGAGGCCGTGCAGAGAGACTTTGACAAATTAGAGGACTGAGTAATCCCAGCCATTTGAAGTTCAATGAGGGGAAGTGCTGGATTCTGCACCTGGGATGGGGCAACCCTGGATGTTCATACAGACTGGGAATGAGATGCTGGAAAGCAGTGCTGTGGAAAGGGACCTGGAGGTACCCAATGGCAAGTTGAATCTGAGTCAGCAGTGCCCTGGCAGCCAGGAGGGCCAACCATGTCCTGGGGGGCATCCGGCAAAGCATCGTCAGCTGGTCAGTGGAGGAGGTTGGTTGGAAGGGACCTCTGAACATCATCTAGTCTTGTCTCTGCCCAAAGTGGGGTCACCTTAGGACAGATTGGTCAGGGTCTGATCTAGTTGAGATTTTAATTTTTCCAAGGACTGTCTCTTCAGGTAACTTGTTCCAGTGTTTGACCACTCTCATTGTGATTTTTTTTACTATACACCTATTTTGAACTTCTGACTTTGCTACTTGTACCCACTGACTTTCACTATGAACTTCCAGGGAGAGTTCAACTTGATCTTCTCTGTAACCTTTCATTATATAAAGAGAGCATCCCCTTTTATTGCAGACTCTAATCTGTGATTTCTCACAATACATTTCAAACGTACCCATTATAATGAATGCCTTGGAGTTGGTAATCTGCACTGTTTAATGATATTTCAGCCTTCCTACACACTTTAAACACAGACAACTATCAAAGATCACTGTTGAATACTCAATGGTTCTCTCGAAATCAGCATGCCTGGGTTTATTGCTGTTGGCAAAATACAACATTTTTCCATTTTAATCAATCAAAATTTGAAAACTTACCTTCTCAGTAATTCTTTCTGTGATGTCATCTATTTCTCTGATTAAGGCATGAATCACTAGGGCTCCCTCTAATTTCTTCCTGTATGCGTTCAGGTTACCATGGAAACTGTTCCACCTTTTATTGAAAATAATATTTTAGAGATGTATTTCATAGGTAAGGATTTCCACAACTGAGTTTCATGATGCTCATATTTAAGTAAAAAGACAGGATTTCTGAACTACCTTATGCATTGATCCCCAACTCCCCATAACAGGGCACATCACAGAGATAAAGCATTAGTGTGAGAAGATTATCTGGTTATATTTATACCAGGTTTTCAGGATGGCATGGGGGCTAAAAGCTAAAAAGTACTGATCCAGTTTCCTTAGACTCTCAATAACTTCATAATCCACATGCTTTTGTTTCTTAGACAGTGGACTGTGAAGCAGCAAAAGCAATAGGCAATTCACCAGGACAACAATGTGAATAGATGGAAGTGTCTTAGCTTCATGAATCTACTGTGTCAAGTGCTGTGAAACAGCATGTTTGCCTTCAAGGCTAGAAACATGACTTTGGCCCTGCTGGATTAAAAATCGTTCTAGCTAACTGCTCTGAGAGTATTAGACAACTCCAGTCTCTGATGTTTGGTGGTCATGGTATTAAAGAAGAAAACATATGTTTCGATTCCTCCATTTATCCCAGCCAAAGACACCTAATTTTTCCTTCTTGTTTTTGCTTTACACAGAAGATTTAAGAGCATACTCACTTCTCATTGAGATGCTTTCGGCGCTCGTATATTGTCTTTGTCTCTTCCTTGTTCTGTCTCTCCAGTTTCATGGCCAGGGCATTGATAGTCCTGATGTGAGCATCGTCAACTGTTGACTCCTGTAAAGCGAGAAAAGAAACAAAGGTATGTGTTTGAATTGCTTGTGATTGAGTTTTCCATCGAGACATGAAAAATAACACCAGCAGCAAAAAGAAATAGTTTTACCTCACTGCCAAACATTTCAGACATATAGGGTTTGCTCTACTACAACTGCTGGTGTTACTAAGTCCCTGATGAGAAGACAGTAAAGGCAAGAAAGAACATTAATGACCATAGATACAACAATGATCTAGGTCTAGATGGGGGCCCTCAGGCAGTCGTTTCTAAGCCAGACATTCCAGCAGGGGTTCATTTGTTGAAGAAACATAGGTGCAGGTGCTGGTTACATAGGTGGCTGCTGTGGAGCAGCTGCTGTGTGGCAGACTGATCCTTTGTCAAACAGACAGTGACTCATGGCTCCTAGGCCTACTTGCTGTTTTATCTAGATAGGCTTCTGTCCAGAAGTGCCTTCTGTACTGTAGGCAACAGGCTTAAAAATCCATACAGCCTTAAGAATCCCAGATGACCTATGCCATTGCGTTTTCTTCTAAAGCAACATCACTGCATTTTAAAAGGTATACCAAGACTTCAAGGCAATTTGCTTCCCATGCACATACCATGGAATGGGTAATATTTGTACATTGCATACATAATCTGGACTATAATGAAATAATTTTTCTTTTGGAGTGTTATGGATAGCCAACACTGAGCACCGCTCCAAGACTCAAAAACATTCTCTATTTTTCTAAGAGCAGTAAATCACAGACTCAGCAGGGAGACAATCACTGGTGCAATAGAAGCGCAGTTAAAAGATGCCAGCACACTGTTAATAGAAGTATTTGCTCCACTGGGTATTTTGTTTGCTGCATCCATACCAATATGCATGCTTCCGAATATGCTTTACTATTATACACAGCCATAAAGTAAACAGGAGAAACTAGTAGACAGCCAGATATTCTTCAGAAACCCTGCAGCCTTCTCTCCTGAGAAATAATAGCAGCACAATGAGTAGAAAATCTTGCACCCATCAAAGCAGAATGATTACTCCCTACCCTGATCTCAGATTTGTCTAGTGGGAAAAAACAGACTGGATGGATGCACACACTGTGCCAGGAACACCCTGCTTCTGCTTGTATCACCCCATGAAGTACTGCATAACTAAGCATCAGCTATCAGGGCATAAATGTCCCAGCTTTTTTTCTGCAGGAGTCATGTTCAGAGTATTACAGGAGCAGTGACTACAAGCTGATAATATCTAAGGTCAAGAGTTTCCTGTGGCACAAAAGATCTACCTTAGTTTATGGAAAGATTTTTCTATTCAGGGTCTTAAGCAGACTGGGACACTGTTTCTGCCTTTTTCATCATCTATTTTTTGCTGGTAAAACCTGTAGAAGAGCCCTTGCTCAATCCCTAAGTCAGCTGGTGAGTACTGAAGGCACAATGAAAGTCTCTTCAATAATTCCCTGGAGCTGAAGTTGAGCAGTTCGGCTCTCTATCCAAATTCAAGATGAATGCACTAATGTAGTGTCACGAAATTCTGCTGGTCTCTGGAACAGGGAGCTCAGGGTTTTCTTGCAGGGGTCAGGCATATCTACATTGCTACTTTGCATAGATGAGGATTGTCTCCTTCTGCTATTAGGCAACAAAAATAGAAGATGGGATCTGCTGTAACAGGAATTGGCAACAAGATAACAGGCAAACAAAGGAAAAAGAATATCAGGAGAGAACAGAAGAGTAAACCTCACTCACAAAGTCCTAATATACCTCTTTCCAGACCTTCCTCACAATTTCCAGACTGGCAAATCAGCACAGTAATCGTTCCTGTGTGACACACAGACCTGTTAGTCCACAACTATAGCAGTTCACACAGAGAGAACAAGAAGTTGCTGCAAAAGCATCCCTCACAACTCTTATGGTAGGAGCTGAAGCACATCACAAGGAGGCCCTTGTTGTGGTAGGGCCTGTTCCCCAGGTTTGGTGCCCAAGTTAGCACATTCACTGGGGACAAGAAAGGCAGCTGGCGTGACTCCTCAGCACCACAAGAGTCAGAGATCTCAGCATAGAAAGGTGAAGTGTGCAGCCAACTTGTCACATGGCTGCTACTCAAAGTGTAAACCATTGCTCTATTTTACTAAATGTCTGATTATTAATGTTATGATTCATGACTAACCACATGTACTGTATAAACAAAGGCCCCCAAGTTTACACGCTTCATTTGTATGAAGGAATATGAGAAACCTGACTGTTCCTCACAAGGAGAAGAAGGGAGAAATAAAGGATGGAAATAGAGAAAGTAGTATTTTTTTTTTCCCACAGGCTTGGTTCATGGAAGATCTATATTAGTTTTCAGATTCATACAAATATGGCTGAAACAACCATGTTTAAAACCACTTCTGGGTGGAAATGACTGTGACTTTGCAGACTGCACAAACCAAACAAAACCCTGCTCAAATTCAGGCTCACACCACAAGTTTTCCAGTCATTTAACACAGTCCAAAATTTTAGGTTGTGTCATGAGCACCTGACAGCTCTGTTTAGACATCTTCAAAGCAAAAGGCACGAGTGAAAATTTTATCTTTTTTTAACAGCTTTTGAGGTTGTAATGCTTCCTCTCACCCTGATCTTTCACCTTCTCAGTGTACTGGAACTGTATTTACTACCTGAACTGAAAAGTTAACTGCTGCTTGCAGCCGCACAAGAAATGTGCATGGAAAACACCTCTTACCCCTGATGTTGCTCCCCGGAACTCATTCAACTTTTTCTTGAGTTGCAGGCAGTGTTCGTAGTCATTTCCCACATCACCTACATTAATCATGACTTCCTGAGGAAATAAGCAGCAAACAGACAAATATTTAAGCTAAGAGTACAAGAACACAGCAACTCCCAATGCTTATGCTGATGCAATAAGTTCTGTGATTTGCCTGTAAATCACTGACCTACAGCTTCTGAAGTAGTCTCTTCTGATCTTTAAATAATTATGAGACTTACTCCCAACTCTCTCTTCAGTCTATTACTGATTATGGAAGCTACCTCTGAATGAAAGTGATTCTTCCTTCACTCCTACAAAGAGAAACTTTCAGATTTGATATATGAGAGTGCAAGCCAGTTGCCAAGTACTTCAAGTCTCTTTGATTCTAGTCTGCTTTTATTTCTCTGTCTCAACAGAGACATAGGAGATGGCCTCCAATAATCACAAACTCTTCATTTGCACATTTTACATGAGAACATGTGCTAATACTGTCCAACTAATTCTGGTATTAGGTAGACTCCAGGAAATGTTTAGAATTTATTGAATCATTCCTTTCATATTTTCTGTAGAATGTTTCATGATTCTTACAGACAAAAGCCACTAAAAATATCCTGGAAGATGACACTTTTATCAGAATTTCATTGCTAAATAGCAAGTCTTTAGCGTGTTAGCTAAATACTAAAATACATTTACCTTCTCCCTGATCCAGGCTTCCACCTGGTCCACCTTCTGGAGAAATTCTAGGAAGTCCCGACTGTCCTCCAGCATCTTTCCACGAGCAGCAACAGCTCTCTTCAACTTCTCCCAATGCTCCTGAAGCAAGCGGACTTTGCGACGGATCTCTCCTGATTTTGGGTGGCCTTTTGATATCAGGGCTTCTCCTTTCTTCACATTCAGAAAAAGAAATTAGAAATTAAGATTGCCACTAATTTTTAAGGGTGTTATCATGTTACATGACCTTTCTAGAAGGATTCTCTCACTTCCCTAGCCTGGACTGCACAACAGATTACTAATATAAATTTTTACCACCCAAATGATACAGCTCGGCTGGAAACCTTTTACATCTGGAGGGAATCTAGAATCACAGAACACTAGGATTTGAATATTTCCTTGCCAAGAATGACATTCATGGAGTGGGAGCACCAAGAGAGATTTTACAGATGACTGCACATTTCAGCCATATGATTCACCCAGTTTCAACAAGAATATTCACAAATGGGGCATGAAATCCTGTTTACTTTTTGTAGGAGTAAACAGCCCAGGCAAGGAAGAAGTCAGTGATATTTTCAGGTCTATAAGAAAATCTATTCAGACTATAAGGAAAGATGGAAGCTCCCTGGATAGAGCAATTTACATATCTCCCTGTTGTAAATTAACAGCATTATATTTCCATGGCATAGCAATTGAGTTCTTGTCACACAAATAGGATAATTGATATAGAAGCATTTCATCTATCTGTTCTTTGGATAAGCAGCAAGAATCTGTAAAAACACTAGCAGAGTGATAGAGTTACCTTATTAACAGCTGTGATGATTTCTTCATTTGCTAGAATCTCTGCCTCAAAGACCTGATGTTTCTGCAGCAGCTTCATTTTGTCCTGCAGATTGCTAGGGTCTTGTACGGAAGGATCCTCTAACTTCTGCATGCGTTCACTGATCCAGTCTTCTGTCTGCAGCAGTGTGAGGCATCCAAGTTAGCATGACAACTACATGAGATCCTGGGGCCTTCTCCCAGGACATACCATTATTCTATGCAAGTGTCTATGCTAGGCAGACTGAGCTGGGAGCTTGACAGCTGGAGTGGCTCTCCAGTTTCTGAACTATTCTACTTGATAGGAGATAAAAGCAGGTAGGAATGAAACTAATTTTTATCTGACCACAAGAGTAATGAAAAATTCCTTGAATACCTCAGATTTTATCACAAGCCATAAACAGATCACACAATCTTCTAAATTATATTCAGAGAATCCTTGAGCAGATATTAAGCCTTAACATGTTAGACATTTAAAATGAGATTATGACCACTGAATCTTGGGATTTAGGGCTCTGAGTTTCATCTCACATCTCTGTCATTGACCTACCTTTAAGGTGGGTTAGATTCTTTAGAATTCTGTGCCTCACCTATAAAACAGTACTAACATTTCCTGATCTCAGTGATGTTGTGAGACCTAAATGAAAAATGCAAAGTAAATAAAGCCTTATTGATGGGGCCAAGCACTAATTAGATTATTTGAGGGGAAATACAACCCTGTTTGCTTTTATACTTCATAAATTTCAAAATGGTCTGGTCGGGAGTATTAGATTCAAACAAGCAGGAGATCTGTGAGAGCTAACAATGCAAGGGTTATGTGTTTCTCTTAGGAAATTATTTTTTAGGGGATTTAAATGAATGCAGAATAAAATGGATAACCGGATAGGGAGTTTTCCAAAATTTTCTTTAAAATCTGCTGAACTTTAGACCTTCGCACTAAAGGAAATATTTTCTATCTATCAAAACACTGAGAACTGTCAACTTGACATAACTGATCCTGTTGTCCTCAGAGCACTGAAGTAATGTAATGTTTTGACAACATAAGATCAGCAAATTGAAGGCAGCTTTATTAGTTTCAAATCATTTTGGCTGTCCTTGTGGAACTGTGTGTTACATGTGCACAAGGCTTGACAACTGGAGGATTTTCTCAGTTAATTAATGATTTGAAGTTTTGTTTCAGCTGCTGAAATTCTATAAATAAACACAGAAAGAGCTTTCATGAGCAGCATGCTCTCCAGAAACTGTTTCTTTCAAAGTACAGTTAGAAACTCAAACAGGAACCTTATGTCAAGATTACCCAGAAGAACACATTGTCATCTGCTGTTTTCATTTCTGACACCCTCCTCAATGGCCTTCTCCCATTACCAGCCACACATTAACTCTTCAATGTCACTGAAGTGACTCTTCATTTGAATAGAAGAGGCTCATGCCTACAGTTAGAATGAGAAACAAGTGAATCCCCTGTATGTAGCCACTTACAGGTCAATTTCTCTTCTATTTTTTAAGCAGAAGCAATGGCTTAACAGCAGACTGAACATCTGCACTCTTAGTGGCTTGGTTTATTTTAAGGCTTACTTAAGATGGCTCTAGAGAGTGAGAGATCCTTCTCCTGGCCCCATGCCCACATTCAGATGTGAACCAAAGTTGATTTGTTGTCCTAAGATCTTTCTGTGGAAAGACCTAATGGTCGTCTGGACAGGCATTTTCATTTTATTGAAGACAACAGTAAGACAAGTGTTATGCTCAGTGTAGAGACATGAGACCAGTCTTACTTCTACAGGACTCATAAAAAGTGTGGGCACTACCAATTTAGAAAGCTACATTTTCAGAATATCAGTTACTGTAACCTCATGAGCACAAACTTTTTGTAAATTACACTGATTTTTAATAAAAGAAATATTTAGAGCTTATAAAGGAGTGTGCCTGTTCCAGACATCGAGGCAACAACTAACTCTCTCACTCATCTGAGATAAAGAAGTAAATGTTTTTTTAGTCTCTTGTAGAGGGTGAAAGGGAAAGGAAGTGCCACTGATATGATGAGCAAGTTTCAGGGTCAGCATAAAAACTCAGGGCCAGCTTTAGAAGTCAAAACGTTCAACTTTATGATCTTTCCTCTGCAATTATTTAAATACACATTTCTAAGTAGCAGCCTGCTCATTTGCCTTCCACATTAGCACAGGGCTACAGACATTGTGACAATAGGGTAATCTATAAGTCTGTCTCACTTCTTTGGGACTCAAAAAGCACCCTATTTCTACTGTAGGAGGGTGTGTCCTATTTTGTGAGCTGAGCATAATCTCTTGAATTAGTGGGTTTTACACAGAAAAAAACCAAAGTCCTGTGTCCTGCAGCAGCTTGCCTTCTAAGCAGATTATATGATGTTGAGTTCTCTGTCCTCTCATCAGTAATCACAGACTGTGTCATCTTTTTACTAATGTGTGCAGCTCTCTGTGTAAGTGCTTCTAGAGAGTAACCAGGAGACTTTTAATGATGACAGCGATCACTAATTTCTGCTGAAGCCAAAAAAAGTATGCTTTATCAATAAAAATTACTTAACATTCTTGCAGGAAGGAGAGTTTTCAGAAGAGTGGGATCTGAGCTATGGATTTTGTCCTCTTAATAAGTAAGAATAACCAATGATCTCATTGATTTCACAGTTAAACTCAAAACTCATCTCTGAATTTAACTTCCCTATGGGGACAATTCTCATTTGTGAACATGTACACATCCAGAACATCATTAAATCAAATTAAACATTCCATTCTACCCAATAAAGAGAGAGAAAGAAAAATATTGCAATAAGATTTTTTTATTTTTCTTTTTAATTCCTTGGTGGCATTCACATTCTACAGTAGTAGGCAATGGTCGGCAATGTAAATGACCATATAACCTGAGAGCAAAAACTCTCTTGGATGAATTTATGTGGAGAAAGTGAATGAGAAAAGGAAAATGTTCCCCACTATGCAGGGTCAGATCCTCTGCTCTAAGTATGTGATTCAAGAATGAAGGGGGAGCCCAGTCCAAGCACTGATTTGAGCATTACAGAGAGATGGGGAGAAATGCATAGATATTCCTACCTAATGGGTTGATGATATCTCCAGCAGGGCATTGACAGTTTCTCTACCACAGAGGATGTTGACAGTTCTGGGAACTTTCTGTCAGAGTTATATTGCTCTTTTCAAAATATTATTACTGGGCAACACCCCCTCCACTCCACTCTGCTAGTCCAAAAGGTGGCTACTACTGGTGGAATTTCATTACTTCCACATCATGTGATAGTAAAAGTATAGTTAAATAATACAAGTTAGTGTTTGGGTGTATAAATAATTTCTGATAAAGTTTACTAAAAGAAAAAACAACCAGAAAAAAAGAATAGGTCTGGCTTTGTAGTGTGGTCAAAGAAGAGGGTATTTAAATGCCTGACTGTTTGGGGTAGGGGGGGTTCCAAATACATTGTGCTGTCACTGGAATTTTAGTAGCCTTAGATTATTCTTTTTCTTGAAAACAAACAAACAAACAAATTAATTAAAACCAAACCAAACCAAAAACAAACCACACAAACACAAAAACCAAACAAAAAAAAAACAACAAAGAGAAATTTTGTTGCTGGCAGCAGCTGTGTTGTAGGCATTCATTCTCTTTTGGTGATGATCTTAACCTGATCTGTGTCTTTTTCATGGGCTGGGAGGTGACCAGCACCTGCAGTTTTTTCTTTAAATCATGGAGGATGTTCCATGGGATACAGCAGCAGAAGGGGTGGATACCAAACCAGCAAGTGTTTGCAAATGTCTGCCTGAGCCTATGTGCTCTTGTTTATGCCAGTACACCAGATATGCTAGCACATTTTCAGTCACACACATTGTGCTGCTCTTTGAAAGATTGACCTAGTATGCCTTTCTAACAGTACTGCCAGGAACAGAGCTACTCAGTTACAAGACTAAGGCCAGAATAGGAGACAAACGGAGACCAACATATTCTGCAGAGACCAGTCAAAGCGAGCACTTCATCCAGTAGAAGTAGGCAGTTGCTCTGCCTTCCAGCCCCATCCCAGTCTAAAACCCTCTTACCTCTTCCAAGTTCTGGTAGAAAAGTGCCAGAAGAAGGGCAATCTGCAGCTTCTCTCTCCTATTCTGGGATAGATTCTTGATCTGATGCTTCCTCTCATGAATGACATTCAGTTTGTGCTGAATCTTTCGCCCTTCCAGTCCATCAGCCTTTTCCAGCCTGCTTGCCTGTTCTTGAAGAGATATCATCTGAGGAGACAACAAATCTGAAATTACTTTTATGCTTCCAAGTGGTGTGAAAGAAACAAAATCCAAGCTCCTTTCCATACCTAAAAGATTTTCCTTTTTTCTGTAATAAATCAAGAATAGCAGGGAGAGGTTAATCAGCATTCCCCCTCACCCTGTACTATATTACACCTATGACATTATTATTATTGCTCTGTGTGGTGGATCCCGGCTACTTAAATGAATTGAAGCTGTAGCTCCAGGAGTCCCTATGTTACTGATCAGCTGGTGCAAGGAATCATGGAGCAAGCATGACACTCATAAGTGCCAGTGCTCAAGTTTTATTTCTTTGTGGAAATCAGGTGTTGGAAGGTAGCTCTCAAAATAAGCAATCTGTCTGGCAGGGAGCTGGCAAGAGTTCTGGGAGTTCATTCCTTCTAAGGAACCCAGGCATAGTCCCAGGTTTAAGTTTAGCCCTAGCCTGGCTGAGTTAGAGCAGTGGCTATCAGGCAGATTCATTTACATGAAGGTGAGCAGATCAGTGTCTATTCCAAAGTTGTGGAGAGGCAAGCCAGTTTGGCACAGCCATTGTATACCAAATGCATATTTAAATAATTTTACCTCCTGTATTTTACTTGCTATAAAAGCCACTATTTTTTTAATGAAAAAACCAGAAACTTCTGATATCCATGACACAATAGGGCCTGCTTTAAATATTTCTTCTTGTAGCTCCCACTATTCAGCACACTGAGTGGTTTTCCTATCTGCTGCAAGACAATACAGGGAGGCCTTGGGCGTGGGATGTTTTAACACTTGTTCTCCAATGCTCTGTCTCTTATTTCCCCAAGCTTTCTCATTTTCTCTTTGGTTCAAGCATATCAGGCATATCATGCCTGTCAGCAATTCAATGTGTTAGCATATTAATAAATATAATTATATATATATATATATATAAAATTCTAGCTCTTGGGCTGGTAGAATATTTGTTGTTGATTTTTGTACCTTCTCATCCTGTGATGCCAGAAGCTTCTCAAAAGCCTCATGTTTCCTTATCAGTTGCTCTACTTCATTTACAGAGGTTCCGAGGTCATTGCTTTTCAAATAAATCTATAAAAAAAGTTTATTATTTCTCTCAGTGGATTAATTATCACATAAAATTTATTCATAAATGGGAGAAGAGGTATTAACTCTGCTGTTGAGAGTACATTTGAGAGGGAAAGAAAGGAACAGGAGGCAACTGAAATTGGAAACTAATTAGTATAACTCCATGGTCTTTAGCTAGAAAGAGAAGCATTAACAGGTCTAGCTGAAGAAAGTGACCTGTCACTGCTTATTATAATCACTAAGTCACAAGGCAGTAAATTCCAGAGGTCTAAGCCATCCTTGTAATCTCAAGTAAGATCACTCTCATGTCTGACAGATGTCCATATCATTCCTTCTCAGAAGAGTTCTTGTAACAGAGACTTTGCAGCCTCCCTGGGCAATTTACTCCAGTGCTTCATTACCTTAACTTCATTACCTTAAATTAGCAGGATTTTCCAAATATCTATCCTGAAAATGCATGGCTAGCACTACATGTTGCTATATACTGCCCTCTTCATCACATGAAGGATGATCATTCCTTTTACATCTGCTTCAGCCTTGTACATGTTTGTAGACATCACATATTGGGATTTCTGTCTTCTCTAGGCTAAAACTACACTGATCTGATCAATTATTCCACAACAGCTGTGTCTTCTTGATTCTGTTTATTCCTATTTCTCTCTGGATTTTCTCTATTTCTTCTTATTTTGAAACTTGATGCAATAACTGTCAATAAGCAATCAGACTGCCAGAGTGAAGGCTGTGAAAACAGCAGAACATTTATATGTGCCTTTCAAGCTGCAATCTTCAGCATGTGTCTGTATATGGTGCTTATCTTCTATACAATACCATGAACTCAAGTTCACCTTGCAATCTACTATAAGATTCCAGAAGCTTTTCAGAAGAACTGCTGACAGACCAGTTTGACCCCATCCTGTATTTAAGCAGCTGATTATTCCTGAAAAATGTCATAGCTTGCATCTGTACCAAGTGCATTACATTTGTTATATTTTCAGGCCATCTTTCCAATTTGTCTGCATTAATTTTATTTACTGTCTGTTCTGTCAGTGCAGTTTTAAAGAAACTGACCTCTGCACTATTTGCTTTTAACACTGTGAGAACCTTTTCCAACTATTCCAACTAAGGCACTGCAGTGTTTCCTGATTCTGTTCTGGTGTTAAGAAGGCTGACTGCCCAATTACTTCTGCCGTGCATTCTGTTATATTCGGTTTTGCCAAATGCAGAAGAATAAACAATGTAGTTATCTATTATCAAGAAAAAACTATGCTTTTCTCCAGATTAATAAGAACGTATTCTTTTCTAGTGGATTTAATTGCCCACATTTTTTTTTTTTATTCAATGAGACAACAGCAAAGCAAAAACCTCAATTAGAGGTTCTGATGGGACATGAGCAAAAATTACCCATGAGTAAGGATCACACTGAAGTGACTATGACTGGACAGACCTGGGGAAATCAGACTGTTGTGAGGGATTACATTTATCAGCAGTGTGTAATGTGTAATCCATTTTGTGAGCTCATGGAATCATAAATATTTGGACAAGGATGAGAATTTCCAACCAGTAACTCTACCTGGGTAAAGTGCAATTAATGGAGATGGAAGAAGAATTTGAGATCAGTGATACAGTGTGAAAGAATTAAGAGGCAGGAAAGAAACAGAAGAGAATCAGTGAAACACAATTGCTAATAGTTTCAGAAAAGGGCTGGTAAATAACATAGGTAAATCTGTGCCTTAAAACCATAGATATGTGCAGAAAAAAATAACATCTGGAGAGGTCCTTCTTGCTTTGCTAAGCATTACAGTTCTGTAACAGTCTTACAGTGTGTTTTTTATGAGAGGTAAAGGATATTCTTTGGCAGCTACTTTAGAAAACCAGTCATGATGTTCATTTTCTGCACAGAAGTATTGGATGATCGTTTCACTCCACAGGGCATCTTCTGAAGGAGAGGTTTCCCAAGCATGAATGCATGTGCAGGGCAATCCACATGTACTTGCCAGGGTCCGAATGCACTAACAGGCTCTGGTGGTTCTGACTGCCCCCTGGATGGACGTCCTGCTCCCATCTGGGGGTCCCTCTGAGGCTCGGCCCTGGCCACCAGCCCTGCCTGAGCTACACTGAGGGGAAGTCTGAGCTCTGCCCTGGTCCTCCCGGACAGACCCCACATTTAAGTCACTACCTCGCCTTGATGCTTTGATCTTCAGCTGGTTGATGGACTTTTTTACTGCTGCCACCACTCAGCCCTCCTTGGCAGCTGTGGATAAGAGGACTGACAGCCAGACTTGACCTGATGTTCTAGTCCATTTTTCAGGAGTGAATATTTTGCATATAGAAAAAAATGCACAGAAGACTATCATGTCCAGGCTGGATGTACAAACTGCTCTATACTAATCCATACCAAGTATCAAAAGAAAGGTAAATAAATCCCATCACAGTAATCACTGTCAAGAAGACAGTGAACACAACAGGCCTAAGCCTATAGTATGTCTGTCCCATTAATCACCAGAATGCCTAAAGAAATATATTGATGCCTCTGCTATGCCTCTGTCTGTTAAATATAACCCCCATCAGAAGGCAGATACTCTGTAATTCAAACTTTAATCCTTTGATCTATCCTACTCATCAAGTGTATGAAATTATATATTTTTTTTTTGAGAGTGTTACTGGATTTTGTTTGCTCTTTTGAAGAAAGATCTCCACATGTGTGGGTTCCAGGTCTGTCTACAGTAATGCCTTATTAAACCACCTTATTATTACCATCTATATCTACACTGCTGTTACTAACACAGAAATAAAAAGTTATCAGCTGAATCTAACTCACTGCTATTTTGGCTACACAAACATACAGTCACACACTGTATCTCCATTTTGAAGCTTTAAACACTGCTTAAAAAATACTGTAGCTTCTTTACATATTCTGTGAATTATCTACCATTTTTGGTCAAAAAAGATTTACCTCTAGGACTTTTATCTAGTACTCTTAGCAGTGAAACTGGTACCTGAAGAAATGGTCAACTATTAGTTTTCCTGCTCATAAACCTGTGATGGAAGAAAAACACAAGGGGTATCTACCGATAAAGGTGATTAGATTCCTTGAAGAAGAGAACAGAGACATTTGAGAGCAGGGGTGTGGGGTGGTGAGTCATAAGCAGCTGCCACTGGAGTGTTCAGGGCTTTGCTCCCACTGAAAACCACTAAACACAAATGACACTGAGCAAAGCTCGATTCCTTCAGATATTACAGCAGTGGGAAAAAGTCCTCCTGAAAGCTTTGGACCAAGACCTCCAAGCAGAAGCTCGTGCAAATGCCAAAACCAAGGCTTTGACACTGAGAAAGAAAACTGGTGCACAAAAAGAAAATTGCTGCAAAAGGAAAGTGGCTGCATACATTACAGGAGAGGCAATGGCACCAATTTTAGAAGAAAGTAGCCCCTGTAGCACTAACAGTGCTACTTGGAGAGCTGCTAAGGTAAAAATTTTCCATTCCATTCATCTTTTAAACAGAAATCTTATGACAGCCATTGCTAGAATCAGAACCACAACATTTTTTTCATGTAAGTACTTGTTATACCAGTCTGAAAGCAGAATGAAAATTGTCTCCTTTGCCACAATGCTGGCCTGTGGCCAAGTACATCACTTTCTGGCAGGTTTTTAGAAACATCCCCAAACACCTGCTTTGAATAAGACACATTGATTTCAACTATAAAACACTGCATAGCTCTCCTCAGGTAACCTACCAGGGTCTCCCAGAGGAAACAGTATATATAAACTTTTTTTTCAAGTTTGTTGCTATTATGAATCATGGCCCATCATCAGGAATTTTGCTCAGCCATGAAAAGCACCAAAGACTTGGCCACTTACTATAAAAGGGACTAGTTTTTAAGAGAAGACTTGCAAAGATGCTTAAAACCACAAAATGTTTTTTGAGATTTTTGAGATTTTAAATGGAGAATGGAACAAATAGTCAATTTATTAATGATGTAAAGCACAGAAATGGAGGGTTTAACCCTACTTCACTAGAGGTTTTCTCTATTTCTGAGCTCATTGCATAGTTTTCAATACACAGTCATATAAGAACTCTTGCATACAAGTTAATGCAGAACTAAAAATGAAGTCCAGTTTAAAAAAAAAATCACTTAAAATAAGTCAGTACTATATACACACTTATGTGACAGCTTATGCCAGCTCTAGCTTTTAAAGAAATACTGAAGAAACATTTTAACCATTAGCCCAGCTATGCTCTCTGGATACCACAACTTCAAATTTATATGTACTGGAAGCTGACATAACCCCAAAAGAAATTCATATTCCAAGAAGACTAGTTTCTATTTCTCTAGAATAAAATTTAAGTATTTCTGCAAATTCACTCCCTTCTGCTCTTCACAGTATAACAAGCTCCATAGATTTTGCCCCTCGCTGCCTGCCCTTGGCTTGCTGTTGAGATTGCTGGAACACCACAGAAAATCCTTCTGCTTTAAACATGCACTAAAAGCCTGAATTACTTCCAGTTTTAAAAGCCTTCACTTAAAGCATGTAATGAAGTCCAAACTATCTGCCCAAATAGATAACAACAAAGTTTGATTTGACTTAATTCTGATAGAAGTAAATAAAAAAGAAAAAAAATGATATTTGATTTAGCAAAGCAAATAAATATGTTTGATACGATGACTATATATGGTACACAAAAATGTTGTACTATGCTTCATTTCAGTAAAAGTTACAACAAGGTATCATACTATAACCATAGGTGGAATAAAATGCACTGAAGTTTTTTATAAAGAGAAAACACATACTTTTTCTATCACACTGACATCACTATATTATTGGCTTCTCTCCTCACAATCTATATGCAAAATTCTAATGTTAAAGATATTTAAAATTTCCTTCCCTCCTCCTACTGCATGCTGTCTTATGGCATAAGAATATAATTGTCTCACATTGGAAATGTATATGGGAAAAAACACAGAGATAAGACAGTGGGGTTTTTTTCCCATAACTGCTGTAATT